AGTGGTTCATGCATTTTTTTTTACAGTATAAGCTTTACCAAGAGTATTTTCCGCCATAGTTAGCTTCCTTCCTGGTAACTTCTCTTGATCTCTTTTCAACACTCATCAAATTTGAATTGATTTTAGATTATTAATTGTAGTTGAAAATATCAGATGGTTGGAGAAAAGAAGATTCTCATATTTATTGTTTATGTACGGATTGCCACTGGCGTGGCTTTGAAGAAGTAACTAACACTGTTTTGTTATTGCCCTTTCTCTTAAAACTATGGATTAACATTTATAAAAACGATAACTTTTAAAGTTCTCCAGAGAACTTTTCTTACATTGTACGTTACATTTCCAAATTTTAAATGATGAAAATATATTATATGTACTTGACTATAAAATTAAGGAATAAGCTTTTGGGTCCTAAATTTAATGCCTACCTTTTCTCGGTCCATAATTTCCTCCAATAATTGAAACTTACCTTTCAATCTTTTGACCAAAACTAACACTATGTATAAACAAGGCTGGACTCAGTGTACACAATATTTTTCTTTATACTAAAATAAACCTGTTACAAAAAAAAAAGAAAAAAAAAACTACAATAAACCACCACACCTTTGGTTCATTCGCAAAGTATGCAACAAAGATTGTTACAAAATAGATGATTGACTAAACAGATAGTGGTGAATGTAATAGTAATTACGAAAATAATAATGAAAATTGAGTTATCTTTATGCAAAATAATAATTGTTGAGTTATCTGTTGAATAGTTTTTTTGTTCATAAATCTGTTGAATAGTTTATTCATCTATTTGGACGAAAGTATCTTTGGCGCTCTATGTAGCTTTGCTATTAAATATAAGTATATAACTAGGTAATAATCTCTGTCGAAATATTTTTTAAATATTTATTCAAAATAAGTTTTAAAAAAATTATTTTGTGAAAATAATAAATAGCTTTACTATATTTAATGATTTAATAAAATTAAAATCATTAAAAATTAATGTTTATCAAATTTAGTATGAAGAATAATTCTAAAATTTTGAATTAAAATATTTATATATTGTGAATAGTATATAGTTTCCTTTAAACTATGTTAAAATAGATATACTTTTTAATCTGATTTCTATTAAATACGATTTCTACTCACATCGTTTTGTGATCATCTGTATTTTATGAAAATAAAAAAATTACACTATTTATCACAAAAAGTTCAGTGTGAAACTTTTAAATGCTTTAGTAGCTATATTCATTTTAAAACAAAATTGATATAACATATATAGAAATCAAATTTTTTAATAATATAAAATTAAAAAATGATAAATGATACGTAAGATCAAATTTTTATTATTCAAAATTATGTATGACATTTTCTCTCTATATATATTAATTGTATTATGTAATTTCTAAATTTTATTTAAGGAAAAAAAAAGAATAATATTTTTTATAGTTTATCGATTAATTTTATGATTAATTTAATAAAAAATATAACATATGTTTAGACGAACAACTTTTTTTCTAGTGATTTTAAAAATTATTTTAGTGGAGACGTATGTCACAATTTACATGTTATAAACCTTCTCAATATATATATGTAAATGATATGGGTTAACGGAACAAATGATTTGATTATTCACACATAATATTTATAAGAAAATAAGTCGAAATTGTGGTAGATCAAAAAGATATATTATTAGTAGAGATGTTAGAAAACCCATCGTCTGAAATATATAGTACGTTAATTAATCTTTTGGTCATCCTTTTTCCAAAACAAGTCGCTTTATAAGAAAAAGAAGAAGTTGATGGGAATTTTGATGTACATTTCAAGTCTAATAAACCGATCAACCAATTAATTTCATTGAAATCAAACCATACCAAACGGAACCAAAGCAGATGTTTATGAGAAGAGAACTTTGATACATATTGTCCTGAGTTTTAAACTAATCTAATCATATCTTCCGGAGGAGCAGAGAAAAACAGGGGAAAATAAAAGATTTCATCCATTTTTCATTACAAAATTGATAATTTTACAAAGATGGACATTAAAAGATCGAAAAATAAAGTGAAAGAAATATATGTCAATCACTTCTGACCAATTATGTGCTTCAGGTTCTCCTCTCCGTTAGTGTAATATCAAATCTATCAGTGATCCTTTACAAATGAATAAATCTCCACATATTCTTGATATGTTTAAATTTCAAATATCAATATTGTGCAGTGTGTTTCCTTCCTTTATATTTGATATACACAAATTATGCGAAGACGGGTCCCATAGAAACTAGAAAGTGGAGGACAATCCACATCTACCTAAAACAAAGTAATAAAAACAAATATTTCAATCCAGTTCCTGCTGTTTTAACATCCTCCTGATCTGCATTTAACATTTAAAATGTTCCATCAAAGCTACAAAATTAGATTTAATTTACTAGGTCAAATACTTGAGAAGTTTATAAAATCAGTTCAAGAATAATCAACTTGCACTCAAACAAAATATTAGACAAAACCAAAAGAAAAGCACCAGAACCTGAAGAAAGTTTTACCCAAAAAAAAAAACCTGAAGAAAGTGAATTTCTTTATGTGTTGTTTGGTACTATCCTCTTCTCTTTCAGAATTTATATCACAAAGAGAGCACATGTTTGAAAACTCTTCTTTTAAAAAAAAAAAAAAATTCTCATTTTTGGGGATGTTAGTGCACGACATGTAATGATGAACTCAAAACAGCATGAGATCCTCTTTTTACCTGAGTTAGGTCACAGTCACAGGAGTGCTTGACTTGCAAAATTTAGGGCAAAAATAAGAAACTCTAGTACAACAATAATTCACCACCAAAATGGTAACAAAGAGATGACCATACCAATTTAACTCTCTGCCACTCAGATGTATAGAACATTTCACTGCAACAATGTTCCATCATCACCTCTCAACTCAAATGATCACTCCTTTTTCTTTTCTTTTCTTTTTGCTTGAACTTTCAATCTGTGATTTAACTGTTCCCTAATCACTCTCCCTTTTTCTAATCATTAAACTGGAATTTGACAATTTGTTCTATTTTTTTGTCAAAAAACTACGACTGAGTGCTCACAATGGTGGTAGTAGGGTCACTAAAATATTAAAAGAGGGTTTGTTTTATAGCCACAGAAACGTAAGAAGCTAATCTAAAAGTGATCATTAAGGTTGAAACAAGGTATGTCCTTGTTTGATCTACAGGAAAGACCCATGTGAAGCCATAATAAAAAGTTTCCCAATGGTGGGCATTGTTCTTGAGGTACCGTCCTACTTTGTGTGCCTCTACTTTTGCAGCATACATAATACCTAAGAAAACAACACATACCAACCCCTCATTTGACTACACCCTCATAAATGATCTACTATCTCCCTCCAAACTCATAACCGATCTGGTCGTTTGGCTTATCTGGTTAGCACCAATAACCAATCCAAGAAGTCATATGGTTGGATACAAAAGATAAAAGAGAGTTAGTTACAGTCAGAAAGTTCTAATAATTGAATTTTGAGATTTAGCAACTATGCCTCCTTGGCCATCAAAGCTTGACCCAGTTTTCTCAGTCTAATCCAACTGAGTTTCCTGCAGGAAATGCTGTAGGAAAAAAGCTGACACATAACAAATTCTGTCAGCGATAATTTAGCAAGTTTATAATGTCAAATCAATCAATCACATTAAATAGAATTGATCTAAATTTCTTTGAAAGAAAATGTCGACGAATATTGAGAAGACAGTCTTGGAGTTACTAATCATGCACCACCTATCATTCAAACTTCAATTATGGGGACTTCTTTTATAAAAAAATATCATCTATAGAGTGTAGAAGACAGAGTCTTACATATTCAGAAGTGGGTCCAAGTTCACACGCATCTCCTGCAACCTTAAAAATTCTAAGTAACTTACTACTGAACCTTTGATGTACTATTATTACCTGTTGAGACTGGTATCTATAAGCCTATACGCTTGTCAGAACCATACCTTTTAACAACCTTAAAACAAAAGATGCGAATTTTAAGAAGCAGAGATTTGACTGAGAACCTGCGGCTGAACTTGCAAAGGTATATCCAACAAGGGGAAAGCTGTAGAGGATGTAGAAGCCATCGAGATCGAGCCAATCAACAAAAAAATGTCGGCTACTACACTAAGAAGAGAGCAAAGAAAAAGGAAACCTACCCATAGGTAGGAAATATTCCAAAATGCAGAGGAACTAACCACAAATATTAGCAAGCATAACACGTTCACAGCAACGCAAAAACATCTAATCAATCAGTCACGGTCTCACTCCCAACATTCCACATGCAACTGCTTTTTAATTCCTCGATTTATCTTCTGAAGTTACATAGATAGAAAGAAGATGGTAAAAAGGTGTACAAGTAAAGTAAGGAGGTTGTATCCATCCGCAAGTTCACTGTTCCAAACAATTTATATGGCTCACAGTTTGCTCCACACACGAGTTTACAAGAAAGTCTCTTACTGTCTTACATATTACAGAAACGGGTCGAAGTTCACACGCATCTCTTGCAACCTTAAATATTCTAACTTACTGACTGACTAAGAGGCAGAGGCTGATTCAAGTTAAAATCTGCGGCCTAACTTGCAATAGTATATCCAATAACGGGAAGCTATTGAGATTCTAGAAGCCATCGAGATAGAGCCAATCAACAAAAAATCTTGGCTACAAAAAGAAACCTACTCACAGGTAAAAACGCAACATAAATCACTCATGGTCTATTAGCAAGCACAGCACGTTCACAGCAACGCAAAAAAAAACATCTAATCAATCAGTCACCGTCTCACTCCCAACATTCCACATGCCACTGCTTTTTCCCTCGAGAACATGGCTCACAGATGATCCCAGGTCCATATTCATCCGCTAGTTCACAGTTCCAAACAATTTAGATGGCTCACAGATAATCACAGGTCTATATTCAGGTACACAGTAGCATACGTGTGAAAGGTTTAGCCTTTTGCTACTCTAACATAACACAACGAACAATCATTTTCATGTAGTAACAGATCATATAAACACAAGATTTCATATTAACCAAAAAGACACAAACTTTCAATTCATAAAACATAAAAGTAACCATTGTTTTGCCATCAGTAAAAAAATCCCCAACCATTACATCAAGAACATGATTCAACAACAATAACACTCTTCTTACCACGCAAAGAACCGTTCTTCGAATCTCAGAAACCGAAGAGCAAAGAGAGCTTCCATAACCCCCAAGCAAGCACCAGCCGCTACATCGAGCACGTAATGCCTCCCTAACAGAATCCTCGACACAGCAGTAACCGTCGCCCAGATCCACACACCAACCAAAACCTCTCCTTTCACACCCCCCTCTCCACCAACATCCCTCACCCACCCGTCCAAGAAAGAGTTCCTCTTCACTTCTGTCGCCACAGAGGTAAAGAAATGAACCGACGCCGCGACGAAGAAGACGCGAGACGCGTGGCCCGAGGGAAACGAGTAGTGATCGGCCGATACTGCTGCGGACATCGAGGGATGATTGTAAGCGGGACGGGGGCGGCGGAAGGTGAGCTTGACGATTCCGACGAAGATCAGATCGAGGAGGAGGCCGAGGAGGAAAGGGATGAGGAAAGGGCGTAGTGGAGGGGAGAGGAGGAGGGAGAGGGAGACGGGGAAGGAGAATCTGAAATCGGCGGAGATTTCTAGGAGAATGAGGAGAAATGGAGGGAGGAATGGCTTCGCCGCCGTGTGGATCGCGGTGGAGACGGCGGCGTCAAGCGCTAAGATGGGGCCGAGGAGAGTCGTTTCCGTTGACGGAGACATGACACTAATCGTTGGGGACTATTTCGAAACGATGGCGTTTAGAGGACGAAAGATGAGAATTATTAACAAGAAGCTATCGTATGTTTGGGTCTGTTGATCAAAAATATAGTTTCGTTGGGCCTTTTTCACTAAGCCCATATCCAGAGGGCGAGTTTTTGCTCTAAGGTGAGCATTGAACGCATATTGTTTTGTGTTGTTTTTGTCTTCCTTCTATAACAACTACTCATCTTCCCTCTGTCTCCTCCAAATCTTTATCCTCTCTTACATTCTATTCTAGGCTCATTGGTGTTTGATTGGTTTACACGTTTTAGCATTGGCATGGACAAATGGTTTTAGAAAAATGTCAATGAAATTATGTTGATAGTTGTTGATCAATTCCGTATGTTCAATCTATCGCCACACAATCTTCTAATTATTCATTTAAAATATAAAAGAAAATCTTATTGGACAAAGAAACTATGATCTGATCACAACAAGCACCAGATCAGTTGGACCAAAGTTATTAAGTAGATGGAACCATGTGATAGAAGATATCGGTAATGATACTACAGATTTAAACCAAATATTGTCGCTTAAAAACTTGGTATGTTAGTGACAACAATGGAGGATAATGAAACAGAGAAGAATCTAGCTACCAGCAGAGAGAACAAGGGGATAAGAAGAAGAAGAATGTTTCTTCTGCAAACTTATTCAGTGCTAACATGTTGAATAATGTTGACACCATCTTTCTTTGCACTCAAGCTCTGTGGCCACCAATCTGCAAAAATGCAACGGAACAGTTATCAGGTTTGGACAAAGATCAGAATGAACTATGTGGGATGATGATTCAAGAAAGTCTAGAAGGTTTGTATTATAAATACCTTTTATGTATCAAAACCAATTCCGCCCATCTGCATCATTCGCTGTGTATCATCATCAGTTGCTGCATAAGAAACACGAGACTTGCAATGACTAAAGAGTATATTATTCACCACAACATCGAGACTAAATAGCAGTATGTGAACACTAACCATTATCATCTTTAATAAAATAAGACTGTATAAGCGTCTCAGTCCAAACAAGTTCAAGAAGTAGCTGAGACATTGACAAATAAGCTCATGAAACAACAGATGTATCGCATAAAAACTGACAGGAACCATTTTCAATGTAACTAGACACATATCAAGAACGGCTGCTTAACATTGAAGTGCTCAAGTCGAGAACGCTATGTTAAGCTCAGGTATAAAATCATTGACAGATTTTTCTTCATCATATCCATGGCGGCCATGTTAGGATCAGGAAACATTTGAGCTTGGTCCTAAGGAACATGTAACAATCCATTTTCCTACATCAAACAATCACTCACTTATTTTCTGAGTCTTCCTTATTCAAGTTGCACACAAACTATACACTACTAGTGATAAACGACAGTGCTGACTGCTGATAACCCTTCTAGTACACACTACAATCAATCCTCAATCAAAAAGGAAAAGCTAAAATCTTTTTTGGCATCATAGTATATAAGCAGGATTCATACATTCATAGACTATGTGGAGAATATAAAGTTTATGTAACTGTGTTAATGGCTTTCCACATATTAATTTTTTTTATTTTGGATTTTAATAAATGTGATTTTTCAGCATTCAGTTATCATTTTAAATATCAGACAGCCAATAGGATACTTATATGTTAGTGAGGTTTAAGAAATCAAACAGCCCATTTAAAATAGTTATAATATGTTTTGGGCCTAATTGAGCCTATTAAGAATTCTTGCATATAAAGTTAGTCGAATCCAGGAAAGAAAGTCTAGGGGTTTCGTTCTTCTTATGCTCTGAAACTATTTTAGGGTTTGTATAAATCTGCCATGAAAGATCTGGAGCAGCTATCCTCGGAGAATTTATTATTAACAAACTCCAGATATGAAACACAATCTTCAAACTCGGTAAGAGAATACTCAGACACAATCCCAGCTGATCTACTCATCGATATATTTACTCGTCTTCCTGCAGAGTCCATTGCTAGGTTTCGTTGCGTATCTAAATTCTGGGAATCATATATACTTCGTCGTAGTGATTTCACTGAATTGTTTCTGACAAAGTCTTGCACTCGTCCACGGCTCTTTTTTGCCTTGGAAGTTGATGACAAGTTGTATTTCTACTCTACACATCAGCCTCGTAATAATCCAGACGATAACTCTTCCCTTGTAGCCACCCCTTATAAGTATTTTCCCAAATACGTCCCATCTTACACAAGTACACAAGTATGTGGACTGGTCCTGCTTCAGGGATGGAAAAGAAATGTGCGGGTGAATCGGGTGATGATTTGTAACCCTGCCACGGGAGAGTTCTTAACCTTACCCAAAGTGCTTTTGAGAAAAAAGAATTTACTTGCTAAGGACAGAGACGTTAGAGACAAGATTGCGAGAATGTATTTAGGGTATGATCCGATTGGCAAACAGTTTAAAGTGTTGTGTATGACTACGACCTCTTCACGTTATGAAGTTAGAGACAATACTCATCAGGTTTTGACACTGGGCCCTGGAAAGCGTTTTTGGAGACCGATCGAACGCAAGTTCCATTTTGAGGGAAGCTATATAATAAGTCGTGAAATATGTATAAACGGTGTTTTATATTTCGGGAATTCCTGGTTAGATAATTCTTCTACGATAGTGTGCTTCAACGTTGGGTCTGAGAAGTTCAGCTTTATCAACACAGATAAAGAAATGAGGTATTCTGGTCTTTGTTGTTCTTTGACTTTGTTCAACTACAAAGATAGATTAGGTGTACATCGTCTGGAGAATTGGTATCAAAGTGATGGGATTGTGTTTTGGGTTCTAGAAGATGCTGAAAATCATAAATGGTCCAAGCATATCTTCGTATTGTCTCCTTTGGAGGAGGACATGATCACATACACCAGTTTTGTTGGAATGACTGGTACAGGTGAACTTGTGTGGTCGTCCTCATACCAGGCAACAACAAACTCTGTCTACCTTACCTTCTACAGCTTGGAAAGTGAAACTTTTACAAAGGTCAATATCCAGGGATTTGAAAAGTTTATGCATCAGTATATATTGATTAAGACCTATGTAGAATATGTGGAGAATATGAAGTGGCTTATGTAACTGTGTCCAATGCTTTCATATATTATTATTATTATTACTTGAGACTTTGGATTTCAACTCTTCCTGTTATTTAACGTTGTTTGGATTCTGCTTTGAGGTGAGCATTAAACATCATATAGTAATGTTTATCTTCTCAAAAATAAATAGAGTTAAAAGGGTAATGGAGGCTGTTCTACTCTACACCTCAGCCTCAAAATCCAGATGATAATCACAAAACGTATGAGTCTATCAATGTTTAGAGAACTGTGATTGTATTCAATAACCAAGCGAAAGCATTAAAAAAAAAAGATACGGGAAGTGGAAGCAGACTCCAGACACCAAATCAGACCAGAACCAGAGGATTAATTCAAGTCATCAACGTTCTTCTTATCTTCCCAGATAACATTTCACGTCTTCTTCACAGACCAGAGTTTTATTTAGTGGATTTAGTTTTCTCATGGCTTTTAAACTGAGGATTTAATTCATATATATACCAATGTAGTCTCGACAAAAACTTATAGCTTCCTTCATCACACTCCAAATTATCCCCAAAAAACAGAGTCTCTCATACTATATATTACCAACCAAAAACACATCCCGAATCAAACTTACAAAAATACTATATAGTTTTTATTAATGCAAACTCTTCTCAGCATGAATAACTATAGTTACAATAGATACCAAAACAAACAACAACAATAAGTAAAACCTGTTTTAAAGTGTGTCGTAAAAGTAAAACTCAAACCCTAGAATTAATCTTGTCCAAAACACCATCAATAGCAATATCAACAGCATCTTTCTTACTCATCAACCCAATGGAAGCACCATGTCTCCTATACATAACCCTAGGCATCATCTCAATCACCTTCTCCCTCATCCTCGCCACTTCCTCTCTCGGTATACTCATCAACACGTCAGCGATCCTCACCCCCCTGAACACAACATCCTCCTTCGCAATCGTCACCGAAAACTCCCTAAAATCCTCCTCCGGCAAATGCCACGTGTACTGCATCTTCGCCGTCTGGTCCTCGAAGAAAACCGGGATGCATCCCGCGATGATCCCGTCGAACGTCGCCTTACGCGTCGGAGTATCTCCCGGCGGCTGCAAGCAGAAGGAGGCTTGCAGCATCGGTCTCATGAACCGGATCGGGTCGTGCTCGCAGATGCCGTTAGAGCAGTCTACAAAATCGCACGTCTTGATCTCAGACTCCGTTACGGTTACGTTAGTGCTGGTACACTCCATCCGGATGCTGCGGCGGATGTTCGGAGTTGAAGACGTTCCCCCTCCTCCAGCGAATAGCATGAGAGAAGTTCTCCGAGAACGGCGCACTCTCCTGATCCAGGATTCTAAAAACGGCAAGCTGTGCGGGTGAAACGACGTCGGGTAAGGAACCGCTTGTTCTTGCCAGGGCCAGAAACGGGATTCGAGAGTTAACGCCGTTAAGTTAAAAAACTCGGGGCGTTCGAGGAAAGACGTTCCCCAGATGGGAGGGTCAACGGTCAACGGTTGAGAGAAGTCCCAAGCGGGCCGGGCCATGACGAGGAAATGGTCTTGGCCCGAGCGTCGGGCCCAGATCTCGGGGGAGTCTTGTTTTAGAAAGGAGAGGAGATCCGACCCGTGATCCGCGCTGGAGTTCACGTCGGGTCCGTAGAGGTAGCGGAGGGAGTCGATGCCGGCGTAGTATGGGAGGTAGACGGCGGTTGCGAGGTTCGGGTCGGGTGTGAGGCACGGGTACTCGAGGATCCGACGGTGGAAGATGAGTTCGAGGAGAAGCGGGTCGGTTCGGTACCAGCTTCGGGTACGGGTGTGGGTTTTCGGGCCGAGGCCGTGGTTGGATAAGTAAGGGCAGAGGTCGTCGGTGAGTGGGTAGTGGTTGCAAGTTGAGAGGAGATCGAGATTGAATCGGGAGGGGAGTGTGCGGATGTGGATCCAACGGTCTGTGCATTCAGAATCGACGGTTGAGATTTGCTGAGATGTGGTGAGGTTGATGAAGAAGAGGAGGAGGGAGAAGATGGTCAATGTCGTGACGGTGGATGTGGAAGCCATAGTTGTGGAGTTTTGTCGGAGTGAAGTGTGGTGGTTTCTTTTTATGTTCTCTCTCTTTATTAATGGTAGGAAAATGTTTATGCTAATTTAGAAGAAGTCCCTAATAATTTCGAGAATTGTTTAATTTGGCCCTTGTCATTTAAAAATAGGAAGGAAGCTTATGATGGACTCAATATTTTGTCACGAATTTGGTTAATTTGGGGTAGTAACTGAAGATAAACTCTCTTTTTGGTTAAAAACATAAAGTAATTTATTGATATCTAGAGACGAATCTAACGGTGCTGGTGCAATTTTGAACACAATAAAATCGGATTGCGTGAACGGGGGAAATGGGTTATGTGTGGGTTCAATAATTGAATTATAATTCCTTTTTTTGGTCACAGTTGAATTTTGACTCCTAAAATAAGAAACGAAATAAAAAAGCAAAACTGGTAAAATGGTTCTCGTTATTTAACGGAACTGAATAGAATTTTGTGATATTCAAGGTGGTTACAGTTAAACCGATTCAGTTATATTGTCTTCCCTCCAAAACAAATCACAGGCAATGACAATTGGTCCTGCAGCAGGAAAAAACTATCTAGCCTCACCAATTTAATATACTTGATATGGATACTAAACTACTGAAGTAGTGTTAGAGTCTCTTTGTTTTTGTAAAGGTTTGACTTCTCTTTAGTTTCAGTTTTCTTTTAAACTTTTAATTTGTAATCTGAATCAGAAGATTCTATGTACTGATGATTTCCATGTTAGACGCTTGTCCCTCAAGAAACTTATATAATGAAAAAGTTCTAATCGTAACAAACTTTAATTTATGGATATATGGAAAAATGATTTAAGTGAAATGACGAAACTGCTAAAAACAGAAACTAAAAACTGTAAAAATAAATAAAAATAGAAAGCAGCATTGGATGAAGCTCTTCTGATACTCCTAGACAGTCATCACATACTTGTGGAGTCTTCCATCTTTCTCCACTTCACCAAATTCTTGAGAAACTTCTTCACCTGCAACACCATTTTACACCAATCATTACATTTACATATAAAACATAACATATGTGATGTTAAAAGCTATAGTTTAGTATGTAATTTGTACCTCTGATGGGTCTCTAAGAGAATAGAACGCTTTGCTTTCTTTTGGAACAGACGATACCAATATCCCAAATCCTTGTTCCCTCTCCCTTAGTACCTTGAACGCATCCTCATCAGTCTTGTCATCTCCAATAAAGATTGGGAGGAAATCATCACCGTTGCTTAATCCGAGAGACTCCAACAGAAACTCAACTGCTTTTCCTTTGTTCCACTCAATCACAGGACGAACCTCTAAAACCTGATCACATTACCAAACACAAGTGATTATTAACTAACTGTGTTGAGAGCTTTGTGTGTGATGTTATATTCATTGCAAGTTAGTACCCTTCTCCCATGAGTAAGACGCAGACGAGGGTATTGTTTCAGGTGGTCATGAACGATTTGACCAACGATTTCCCAGTCTTTCTTATCAACGTTACGGTAATGAACAGAGGTGCAGAACTTGTGGTTCTCTACTTTTGTACCTTTGATACCTTTAGTTAGCTCAACAAGAGAATTATAAACCTCTTCGATGACTGGTATGAACTCTTTAGCTGGCTGAAAAAGGTTTACCTCCTCACCCTATTAAATAGAAAGAACAAAGAGATTAGAAGAGAGATATTTTTGATCATATAATTTTGTAACAAGGTAGAATGATTGTACCTGTTGGTCAGTGGATTTTACAGAGTCTGGGCCTTGAGGAGACCCATTAACATTAACAGGAGTCATTATGTCCATCCCATGACTACCCGCGTAATAGAGTTCGGTTAGTCCTACCAATTCGTAAACCTGACACATGACCAAAGTCCAAAACTGTGTTAGCGTTTTTAACTTTTTGGTTGGACTGTGGAAGTACGGTTTAAAAAAGTCTCACCTTGTCACGGCTTCTACCACTAATAATTGCAGTTGGGAAGTACTTGGCCACATCTTTAACAGCAGCACGCATCTGTGAGATTATATAGAGAGAAGTAAATTTGTTAGCCTTTTTGAGTGTTCAGACAAGGCATAATAATAACATGTTCTTGTTCTTACCGCATCAGACATGATGGCACGATCAGGGTCATCGACTATTGGGGAAAGAGTTCCATCATAGTCTAGAAACACTGCTATCTTCTTGTCCTTAGCTTGAGCTGCAATATGCTCAAAAGAAGTAATCGCTGAAGGATACTTGCGCTGTCCAGATTTAAAAAGAATAAAAGTGGTGAGGACTCAGAAAATATTGTGAATGGAAGAAACCATGAGATATATATATATTATGATTTACCATCCAAGCCCGTTGAGCAGAGTCATCTTCAGGAGCAACCTCGACGTTGAAATCCTTGACAAGCCTCTTAGGAAGAGGCTTACGTGGTGGGGAAGAGGAAATCATTGCTTCTAACCAACCGTTGGATTTAACATCGTCGAGCTTAGGGATCATCTTCCTAGAACTCATCATGAATTTTCCTGAAGGGAAGGATGTTCCTAGTCTTGATTTGTTGACTGGTGAAGCAGGGTCAGAGAGAGCAGGGGAAATCTTGTTTAGGTTAATATCCATTCAAGTCCAAATCAAAAAGCTTTCAGACAAGAAAATTTGATTGGATCTTCTTCTAAATCACTTTGTGTTTTTATCCAACTGTTTTGTCAATGAACAAAAACACTTCTTCAATGTTTTCTTGTCAACTGCTTGTTGGTGAACGGTCCATTAACAGTGAACACTGAAGTTAAATACACAAGAAAAAAAACAAAATATTAGATTTCTATTAACAGTAAAAATATTAAAAAAAGTATGTTTAACTTGAGAACTGAAGAGATGTGGAACTTTACCAAATCATCCCTAAAGATTTTACTACACTCTTAAGACTGATCTGAGCTTCAACTACAAACCTGTATTAGATATATATCCACCAGAAACCAAATAAATCAGACTGCAAGTTTAATTTACTATAACAAGACGATGAAAAATCGTAAAGTATCATACATTTTGGTGTTTCACCACAAAGATTTAACAAAAAAAAAAGTAACTTTGAAAGACACAATAAAGCAGAAGAAAGCTATGTTCTTTTTATTTACTCTTCCTCTGCTTTTTACCTAATTCTCTTAATGGTTGTTTAATGGCATTAAGAGAAAAAGAGCCACTGATATTGACAAGTAACAGAAGTTTTCAACTGCCTTTTGCTATATGACAGCCAATAATGTTAATAATAACGCTACCGACAAATAAAACTTATAGCTTCTCCTTCTGTCACTCCAAGTTGTCCCCAAAGAAAGCGTATATACTACCAAACTATCAAGAGATGTGAATTAACGCGTGTTTCAGTCTCGATACATGGAACCAACGTTGTTAGGTTAACAAAGAACAGAGTCAAATTCAAACACAGAGAGGCCAACAATAAATAAAACAAAAATGTATTTTGAAGGCTTAACAAACTAGCAAAAAAAAATGTAAGAGATCCATAAATCTCTAAAACAATAAACCTTAAAACTGATATTATAAAATACATGAATTAAAAAGGGGAAGATTTCAAACCTGATTCAAACGAGCTCTGGAAAGACAAAGCAGCCGCACAACCACGAAGAAGAAGAAAGGTTTATTCAAGAAGGGAATGCAGATTTTCTCTCCGTTTGGAAAGAGAATCTCAGAGATCGGGAAAGGAGATTTTTTTTCTGGTTTCCTTATTTTCGAAAACCCTAAGAAAAAAAATGCAAGAAGAGAATATTCTTAAAATCCCGAGTTTTAGGGAAGATATGAAAGAGGAGGAGAAGGAGAGAAATTGTAGGAGATGGGCTTTGGTATTTATAGAGTTCGTGAGGAACAATAACAGGTCCGTTTCTCAATGAGACAGAGCATAGTTGAGAGACGTGGTTAACAAGGTTATTTAGCTCTTGCAATACCAGAAACACCCCAGGTGGTTTCAACTAATTACTAATTTGCTATTCCTCTTAATTATTATTCCTAAAAACGACCCAAGACAATCTTTAACTTTCTTATTAGCTTCCCCTAAACAAAATTATTTATGATAAACGAGTTCGTCATTAGGCAGATTCTGGGGTGGAATCTTTGATTTTTTCAATGTTCACATTTTCATTTTATTCTTAATGTTTTTTTCGGGAAATGTTATGCATTAACGTTTCATATTGTGGTGTAATCAAACAGTCCACGCTTTTTTTTTTATGAAACATTTTTTTTTGAAAAAGTGACATGTTTTCTTCCTTGACCAAACGAATTGGTTGTTACTTTGGGTGATAGACGGCACTAATCAGCCGTCTAAATTACCATATCTAATGATTTCTAGAATTCTGACTTATGAGAAAATAAAAGAAAAATTACAGGGAAGAAAATTAAAAACATTTTTGGATTCTACAGGAAAAAAAAACACATTTATGGAGGAGGATAGAAATAATTTAATAAACCGTGTTGACGAATAGCAAAGTTACTACCTACAATAAATTTGGGAGAGAAGAAAGGAAAAATAAACTAAAGGCGGACGTTAGTTTGTTACCAAAAAGGAGCTGGTTCCTGAATAGACACGTGGTTACGAGTCAAGAGAGTTGAAAAACCGTAGGAGCCACGTGTTAAATCTGAGATAGTGACGTAATACGTGTTTGTTGGGCCTTATTCATGAGTCCATCCATAGAAATGAACTGGCTTTTTTAGTTCCGGTGTCATTTTCCGGCACATTATATGCCTTTTTGTATACAATGTTCGCGTATTATATAAGATATTTAACCAAACTAAGATGTATATACACACAACACATTCATGTATTCTAACTGAGACCTACCATCCATTATATTGTAGTGAAAATGACAGAATGAGGTGGATGGTAAGTCTAAGTATGTTATTTTGACGAGGATGAGTTAGGCTTATTGAAATTTAACGTTTACTTAACGGTGTTAGCTTATGAAGAGTTAAAATATCACGGGACCCATAAATAAAAGTCAAAATTAAATGACCAATAGAAGTTTGAGTTGTAAAGTTACTGAATATACGGCTGGGATTAGCTCTCCGTGATCACTTTTTTGGTTAAAGTTGCATATATTTTCAATTTTTCATACTATTTCATAGGTTATGGTAGCTTAGTGTTATAATTTCTCGGAAATTAAGATCATTATAGTAGGAAGATTTTCTTTATTTTAGAAAGTAACTAAAATAAAACATAAATTGCATTGGAGAATAAATAATTTTGCATATATTTTTATTATTAATTAATAAATAAAGTGAAAAAGGTTAAAAGAATTGAAATTAAAAAGAGAAAAAAAGACTAGATTTAGTTTTGTCTTTGGAAGGTTCCCACGTGTATCCTACGCTGCAACTATGACGATTGACGGTCACAACCATACGCTGACGCTAAGATGACACATCTGAAAATGACAAATACATAGTTCGGATTTGACAAAAGAAATATACCTTCTCGAGTGTTTGACAGATCGATAAATCTCATACCTTCTCGAGTCACCATTTCACTATTGTTTCCCTCTCTCTCTTTTCTCGTTAAATTTCTTGTAATTATTGTCTTTCTAACAGCTGAGTCTAGAAGAATTTTATAAATAAGTATAGTTTAAAACGGCACAGAATCATAAAAGTAACATGAATGTTGTAAGAATATAATAGATTTATATGAAAATAGTACAATTTAAGAAACATGGACGGTTACGTGCAAGTGCATTATTTACAAGATTCAATAAGTGTCTTTGCTAAATTTTTAAGATCCAACGTATATTCCATATAAAACTCTAAAACAGTATTTTGGCTTACTATTATCGAGTTTATCTTACTCCTTTGGTCATTCCGATATTGCAAAGTAAACCAGCGACGTACCACAATGTAAACATGCGGTTGAAAAGAGAATCACAGTTACTTTTCTTCTCTCTTTTAGTCTTCGCAATACATAGAAAACAGCCTGTAGTGACCTTTATTCTTTGTTGGTATCAACGGTACTTGGTTTGGCAAATCATCATAATATAATAAATTATACATAAAGAAATCTTCATTCAATAATGAAAAAAAAATAATGTGTGCCGACCACTAAGGCACTAACTATAAGCTCAGTTTGTCAACGTTCACATGTTATCAGAGTGATAATGATAAGGCAAACATTATATGATAACATAAATGTTGTTATAAGTCATCTGCATATGTGTCTCCACGTATCCTTATGCCTACATATACATTTTTTATTTTTGCTAAATTGTAAATATTCATTCATGAAAATAAAAATGTCACACAAGTTGTTTTTCGAGTAAAAAAAAAAAAGTGGAAAAAGGACTTAAAGAACAATCTATTAGAACTAAAATGCGAACAATTTAGTACTTTAAACATTCTGATCTACAACCACCAAAAGTGGCTAGGAAAAACCATTCAACACTAACCGAACCCTAATCCTCCTACGACACTTTAAGGTACGAAGCCTGCTTCCCCTGCACTGCATGATCGTATATATATTATTCCAATTTTCTTTTCGGATTATGAATCCCATGCACTACATGATCCGGCTACTAAAATACGCTATTTAAATATGTAATGACAATTTTCAGGGTAGTTTTGTGACAAATTATGAATATATCTACAATAAGACATCAACTATGTATGTGGTCATAATATTTTTTGTGTCAAGTATTTATTTTTCTGTGTGTGACAAAGATCTCAAAGTATATGCATATAACAATAGTTATGAGCTTCTAACCAGATAAAGATATTAAAAATCACTTCATTATAAACAAACTAATTCGATTTTCTTAACCAGAAACTGTACTGAAAGATCCTATATTCACGAAACATGATCCACTTATACATATTACAATAGAAACGACTCAATACCACATGCTACATGACTTAATTTTTGTATCGAGATCCTTTTCTCAGATGGTTATATAGTCCTAAAAAATTGATTGATATCAGACCACCGAATAAAGAATGCTATTTCATGTGAACGAAATTTCCTATATTATATTGGATCTGAACATAGGTAAATGACCAGTGAACATTTATACGCATGTTCAAGCATGCCAGCTAACAATTAAAAGGCAGCACATAACTCGTTAAAGAAATGGGAAGAAGTGATAAGCACTAATAGATTCAACAAGTCCTCGAGAATAAGTCGTGTGTCTTATAATATAAGACTAGGTTGGCCAGGCCATCTGGTATATAATTATAATATGCATGAGCATTTGATAAATTCAAAACAGTTGAAATCTCTCTATCACTCTATATATAATACACCCAATTAATTATCTCCCTCGTTTATTTTTAGGGAAATTACTTAGGAGTTTCATTACTTAGTTGGTCGACGCCGACGTTATTGTCAAATCTTTATGTTTATTAAAACAGAGTTGTTGAAGACTTTGAGTTGCCCTTCATGTAAACCTCAGATTAGTTCAATATAATCAAACTGCTTCAGTGAATTCTTAAAAGAAACAAAAGTTTATTTGTATGACACGTTCTTAAGTTGAATAATTTAATCGAAATCAAAGTTCAAAACTATGTTGCTTTATTTTGACGGTGCATGCTCCTAATCTTTTGAAAACTTTCTAACACTGGTGGGCCTACAGAATTCTACGCTTATGGGCTCAATAATGTTTATCAGCTATGCCACTTATTATGGGTTCCATTGATGGGGCACTGGGCAGCTGCAGCTAGATGCAAAATCTGGTTTAACTTGTTGATGTGGAAGGAAAACCAATCAATCTAGAAACCAAACCGAAAATATCCAAACAAACCATAACAAATAACCATTCCAAACGAAATAAAAACTAAATAAACCGATTGACATGTTATTCTTTCAAGCTAGATAACATATTTTCTGAACTAGCATAAGAACATTGATAAATAGACTTTAGTTACGCAGTTCACATTATTTGAGAATCAATCCAAAGTATGCATAAGAAGTAACTGGACTTAAAGAGTTCTATTTTTGTTGGTGCTGAATAAGCCTCCTATGCTAAACAAGTAAGATAAAATCCATTTCTCTGAACAGTGAAAAACTTACAAAAATCTCAACATTTTACACATTTAACCGGTTGATAAACCGCCTCTATCTAATGTAATCTGTAACATAACCGGGTGCAAACTCCACAGAAATCAACAATTTTTTGAAACTTTCTACAACTAATCAAATCTTGATTCAACCATAAAGAAACACAGAGCCTTTCTTTAGCTTGGCAATGCAACGACCTCGAAATCTTGGAGAAGAACCTGATCTTTAAACCCACCAAGAAACTGACACAACCCTTCAAGAAACAGAGCAGCTTGATGCTCACTCGTAGCTCCAACAATATCCATGATCACACTCTTCCTCAAACGATTCGCGTCAACAAAGATACTCACAAGCTCCTCCATCTCACCCTTCGCCGCCTCATCCACACTCCCGGAAGCCGCCGCCGTAGTAACCGCCGTCTTCCTCTTCTTCCCCACCTGATACGAACCAATCCAATTCTCCGAGACACGAGCCACGAACCCTCTCTGCGCTTTCCTCACACGGTCCATCAAAACAGGAACCATAAGCCTCATGGTACACTCAATCTGATCAATCCTCATCACCAGCTCGTCCGACGGATCTCTCCACGCGGCGGCGGGGAGCTTCAACGGCTGACTCACGGGGTCAGGGATCAAGCGGAGGGTGTCCTCGTCTTCGTAGTCGGAATCTTGATTCTCGCGGTCGATGAAGGAGCGGAGGAGGTTGGTGAGGAGGTAAGGATGGATGTCGCCGAGGAAGAGGAACGGCGTCTCGAGGGAGTTGCGCCACGTAGGGAAGAGGAGGTGAGGGATGGTGTTGTGGTCGGCGGCAAGGTCTAGGGTTTCGTAGTACAGGACGAGGTGGCGGAGGACGAGGTCGACGTTGGAGGAGAGGACGGAGGCGGGAGCGGCGGAGGAGAGGGATTGGCGGAGGAGAGGGAGGCAGTTTTCGGTTAGGGTTTTGGACCAGTCGGAGTAGAAGTCGTTGAAGCGGCGAGTGGGTTTCTTGCGGGAGAAGATAGAGAAAGGCATTTTCTCTGAGACGATTTGTTTCTTAGTTTTTTTCTTTTTCTTGAGGGGTTTCTTTTTATATACGTAAGGTTGCTCTGTTTTTTTTTTTGGAGGGAAGGCAATATAACTGATTCGGTAATGTCGGTTATATTGGAAGCTAAACCGGAATATTCTGAATTCAATTTTGTTCGGTTCAGTCATTAGTATTTGTACTATCTGGTCTTAACCGCTTGAGAAACTAAAGGTAACGTATGTTCAATACAAACTTTGGCTCTAGTTAATTATTTGTGAAGTTCTGATATAGTGCAGAGAACTTTGATGATATTGAACCATATAGTTATTATACCAACATGACACATACATTACAAAAATTATACAAGGATAGTTCTGAGCATAGCAAAGCAAAACATTGATATAAAAAAAAAAATTAAAAAAACATTGAATAAAATCACCAATTTAAAAAAAAAATTAAAAAAATTCTTACTAAATTGCCTTTGGCCCACAACATCTCAGGATGTATGTATGTATGAAAAATTGGTCTCATCATTCATTTGTGTTAACAATTAAGTCTTGATTCATTTCCATTCCTTTGGTTACTCTTTTCATTGCTAGCTGAAGAACCCCTTCGTTCTCATATTTCCAGAAACATGCACTCTTTTTCAAGCAAGACTAAACCTAAACGTAAACATTTAGTTATGAATATTGTAAGAAATGAGAGATTATCTCATACATTAATATATGGCTAGAAATAATTAATCCACTGTTTTTATGTAGCCATGACAAAAGTTTGTTTTCTTTATTGTATTGGTCGCTTCATTGGTAAATAAATATGATTCGCTAATTCATTTCCTGAAATCAAGTAAATTGATAGTTCGATGAGACATACAATTTTTGGAATCTGATTATATCAACAGTGATTGGTTAATGATGTAGGAATTATTGACTAGTTTGGTGTTGGATTCTAGTGATTATATAATTCAAGTCAGAAAATGTCAAAAGGATAAGGAACATGATTATATATTTAGCAGCAAAACATTAAGATCCGTGATTGGTGGATTAACAACAAGTGAACAAATTTAGAATATGGCATATCAAAATTTATTTTCATTTGATCATATTGTCTTCTTGTCCCCGAAACGTATCTGACGTTTTACTTGCCTTGTTAGTCTTTCGCTGTTCGTATTTTTTTCCTGCATACTGTTCAATAGTTAATGTCCATTGCCATATCCATTTTATTATCTGGGTCGTTTTAGCTTGACTCAAGCTGGCTTATTCTAATATATATATATTTATGCATGGTTCATCACAATTAAGTTGCTCTTGAATGATATCTTCTTATTTCAGATCTCAAAAGTGATACCAAACACAGCTAAACACATTCTAAGTTTTTTGGGCTGTATATACAAAAATTGTTAACATCACATAACTAATTATTAAAGCGAATAATGTTCAACAAATTTTGAGAATTTATTTACATCAATGAATCACATTGAATCAATAGAAATAATACATCAATTCTAATATAAAACTGCGATAATCAATGGTCCCCCTACATGAAATGATATATTTGAAATTGTCGTTTTTCTATCTTTACTCGGTCGGCTTGGGAGGATTCATGTGGTCTATTTAGTAGTATTAAGCTATTAACATAATTAATTAGTTGATATGATAGATTTGTGTACAAATAATCAAGTTATGTTGTCATTAGAAGCTCAAAAATTATCATCAAAAGATGCATCTTGAGTTATAATACATCAAATTATTACGTATATCATGTGAAGCTTTTTGGAACTGGTTATCTAGATACTCCTACTGGATTAGTTGGTTATATCCCAAGATCTTGATTCCTTTGTTGGTGGATAGAACTGTGAATCTGTGATCAATGCTGTGTCAATATATTGGATTATGTCTGGTAGCCTGGTAGGCCACAATAAGTTACGTTAGAAATATACCAAAATCATACACAGATCATGTAAGTTGTTCAAAACAATCTTTTAAGTTTACAAAAAACATGCAAAAACAATCGCATGCATTAGTTTATAATTTCTGAGTTGTTAGAGATGCTGTATTTACTCAACTATGCTGTATCCAATCGAAGGACTATTAAATCAAAGCCAGCATATCCACGTTAGTTATATGTCATAAATATATGTTACAGATACGGGTTTGGAGAATGGAGGTTAAAGGAAAAACAAAGTCATAAGGTAAGAACACATGCATGATGGGTGTATTGTACCGAATGTTTCAAAATTAGGTACACAAAAGTACATATATTTGTTACTTCTTATCCTTCCATTCGATAAAGCCTCCCAGTTTCTTTCTTTTTTTATTTGTTTTTTCGCCAAACAACTGTTATTTTCAAAAGCAATAAATTGAATCTAAGAAAATGGTGTTAGATGGGCTTACGCACATTTAAACAGAATTAAATCTGTACTATATAATTACGATTTTATTAAACTTTTCAGAATAAATCTTTTTTTTTTTCAGAATAAATCTTACAATCTAAAGGAGTAATAAAGTGACCACTGGATGAAGATAAATTCGAGAAAACACTATTGAGTGTGAGGTTTATGAACATTTCTTTTAACCCCTTACAATGATAGAGAGATCATTAAACCATGGTCGAGATTAGAGTATACCCATCAGTGATACTGGACATGCACAAATTCTTAGGCGAAATTTTAATTCTGTCAATCACGGCTTGACATGTGGCGAATCCGTGACGATCTGGGTTCATCACGACGAATCCACGTACGTCGAGTTCACCACTTTTTTCCTCGAAAATCGTGTGAACTCCACCTAAAAACTCCTAAAAGGTATGCTCTAATTCGCGAAAACTAGTCTATAGAGCGTCGGGTATTTTTATAATCTAAAAGTCAATCACCGTATATATATTGGTTAATAGTAAATGAAATAGCTCAATAATTTTACATATTGATCAATATTTTGTTACAGAAAATATATTGGTTAATAGTAAGTGCGTAGCTACTAACTAGTCTAAATTTTGATACAAAAAAAATCTCTGCCTGGTGACAAAAACATGTCTTATTCATATATATATTTTTAAAAACTTAGTTAAAATATATAATGATTCTGAAAGAGAAAAGGAAAGGGAGCACTTTCTGTGAACCGAAGCATGTTATGCAGATCGCACGCGCCGTGCCGACTGCCGACCAAATCTCTAATCCATGTCTCTCCTACACACATGTTCGGCTTTTGTCTTCATCCTATATTTTAGTAAAAAGGAAAAAAATAATAATTTCTCATAATATTTATTTTGTTTTGACTTGAAGTAACTTAATATCCGTAGAAGGTTTATGTTTGATCTCCATATCTGGGATATATCTTTAAACATGGCCGTCGTTTATGTTATTCTTATATTTTTTATATTGGATTTGGATAGATCGAGTATTCTTATCAAACTTGGACTAAGACTTAACTAGTCCATATACATAGACTGATAGACATACCCATATGTGTGCATGTACACTAGACGACATATTGAACATTTAGATGATTAAACAAATGGGTATGATAACAATAAACTCAAATCGGGTCCTCTATATTCAATTATTAACAAACATTGTTTTTACTCCCTCCCGTAAGGATAAAGTTTCACTACTTCGTGTGTGTTATCATGGTGTTAAATAACAAATGAAGATATAAAACATGCCGTTTACATTCGATGTTTTAATCTCTCAAAGAAAACACTTGGATATTTCAAATGATAAAATATAATCCAAAAAGTTGTATAGAATCACTAACACCATGCTGCTGCATCAACATTCTAAACTTCGTATAAAGATTGTAACCAAAGAAAAACTTGGGATACAAGAAATGTTACAAGGAAATTTTTGTCATTAAATTGCATATTACCGTACAATAGTTGAGCTTGACTTTGAAAAGCCTTTGCACATTAATTGAGAGATTGACCTTCAAAACGTTAACACGCCATGACTTTTTCACTAATGATATACACCATACAAAAAGGTCTGGTCATCAAAAACATAAGCTTAACCGTTAATTCGTTCTGCTACTTGTTATCAAATCGTGTATAGCATGATATATTTTTGTTCAACCATTTGACAAATACACTTGAATTAAGAGTTCGGTCTTAGCCGAAAGTAGCCTCATGTGCGTAAACAGCCAACGAAGGTTCAATAAACATAAATTTCTCGTGCTACGAAGAATTAGTTATGTGTTTCAAAAGTAAAATCTGTTGTAAATTTCTCGTGATACAATGATTTTTCTTTTTCAAAAAAATGACAATGAACAAATTTTTTTTTTTATCAAAGACAATGAACTAAAAAATACGACTATACAATTCTAAGAACGAAATCAAAATAATTGGTATAAGTGACATGTTAAATTTGGAAAACACAACATCAAATATGCACATGTGGTATATACACGCACGCACACATAAATTACCGTTCAACGGTCACACCTCAAAGGCTATATAAAGATGGTTGCTTTTCTCTATTCTCAGAACCAACTCAAAGTCTTCATCTTCATCTTGAACTCTAACACAAAACAGAGAAAGAGAGAGAGACATATAGCAAATTAAAGCCACAATTTTTCGATCTAATCATCTTCTCCACTTCAAACCCATTTCTCAAAACGTATTTTTAAATCATAAAATCTCCAAAAGTTTTCATTTTGTTTCTGAATAACAATGAAGAGGCTCAGAGGTTTCAAGATCGGACACAGATTCGTGAAGATCTTCAAATGGATAATCCGAAGTAGAAGAATCCAACCCGGGAAACGCCAATGCCTAACCGGAATTCTCAACCCAGTTTCAAAAATATGTTCTTTAGCACGGTGTCTCCGTCGTGGAGCTAATAGACTATGCGGAGGAAAGAAAACGGGTCAGACCCGGTTGGGTCACGAACCAAAACCGGTTGCTGTTCCCAAGGGACATTTAGTTGTTCATGTCGGAGAATCTGGTGATGATACGCGGCGAGTGGTGGTTCCGGTGATTTATTTTAACCATCCTCTGTTCGGAGAGTTGCTGGAACAGGCGGAGCGGGTTTACGGGTTTGATCAAACGGGTCGGATTACGATACCTTGTCGTGTATCGGATTTTGAGAAGGTTCAGATGAGGATCGCCGCATGGGATCGTTGCCGACAGAAGCGGACTTTCAAGATTATTTAATTTTGACTTTCACAAAATAAATAAATAAATATTTAGCTTTTTATTAATAGTGGAGGAAAAAAAAGTACAAATGTCAATTAGAGAGATGAGAACCTCCCCTCCACTTAATGTTGATTATCAGCTAATAACATCATAGGTTATACAAACTACATCTTATGTTATATTTGTAATGATAAAACTACTTTATATATTGTAATACAGAAAGTGGAAACTTTGGATTCCAGCTAGATATCTATGTTGTTTTTTCTTCTTAGTACACAAGTGATATTGTGTGGCATCTGTCATGACTATCAAATATAGTATATGTTACCAACACGAACATATCAGGAGTTTATTAGAACATGGGGTTAGTTATATATGCTATTATGGAGTAAGGTTATATATTGGTGGGGATATACATCATGTGTTATATGATAAGGTTTGACAAGGCATAGTCATACTGTGATAAGGACTAGACTAGTGAAAGAAGGATCCAATTCCTATTATGGTTAGGCTTATGAACAGACTTTGAACTGTATATACTCTTTGTGTTTACAGTCTGATGAATCAAGTCAGTTAGAGATGAGATCATGAACCCTATCTTAGTATGGTTAGGCGTGTGAATCGAAGTTAAAGTTTATGTAGAAGTTTTGTGATTTAAACAGATCATGAATTAAAGTTTATGTAGAAGTTTTGTTATTAAAACAGATCATGAATTCACTATTATCTAACATTGGAAGTCCGGAGAGAATGAAATATTGTTGTCTTGAAATTTCAATAGGTAGCGAACTTATTAGTGTTGATCATTTGGGTAATGACTAATGACCAATTAAAGTTAAACAAGGGAGTTCATATGGTTTCCACTGTTCAACAGATGCAAAACTAATAGGGAAAATTGTGGTTGGGAGCTAGAATATGCTACATTTTTAGTATAATGAACAAAGAATACAAAGTAAGATTTAACATTTATGTCTTACAAATTTGTAGCTCTTTGGTTTCTGTAATTATTTCAATCAGAAATTTTAATGGTGGACAAAGTCAATGTATAATCACAATATATAGTGTTTAACTTAGTTTAATTCGCTATAAAAAGCATCTAGCTGGAGTAGCTCAGTTGGTTAGAGCGTGTGGCTGTTAACCACAAGGTCAGAGGTTCGACCCCTCTCTCTAGCGATTTTTTTTCTCTTTTATTTCCTGCATCTAAATCAAAGAGAAGTAAGTAAACACAACAACTATAAATCATGATCTTGAAACCAAGCACCTCCTTGTCTCTAAGAATGAAGGCCTTGACAAGATTGTGTAATTTCAGATTTGCTCCGAAGCGAAAGATCATAATTTCTAGTATTTTCCTTAATGGAATGGGGTTATTGCTATTTAGTTATGCTTGCATTGTGATCTTTAACACTTGACCCATTTGAATCTTTTTCGCACCTCAAAATGTTTTGGGGTCTTTCTTTGGTTAGCTAGTATACTTTTTGGTCAACCGGACTATTGAAACTTCCAAAAAGCTTTTACAGAGCAACGTTACTTGTGACCTGCATCTAAACCAAAGAGAAGTAAGTAAACACAACAACTACAAATCATGATCTTGAAACCAAGCACCTCCTTGTCTCTAAGAATGAAGGCCTTGACAAGATTGTGTAATTTCAGATTTGCTCCGAAGCGAAAGATCATAATTTCTAGTATTTTCCTTAATGGAATGGGGTTATTGCTATTTAGTTCTGCTTGCATTGTGATCTTTAACACTTGACCCATTTGAATCTTTTTCGCACCTCAAAATGTTTTGGGGTCTTTCTTTGGTTAGCTAGTATACTTTTTGGTCAACCGGACCATTGAAACTTTCAGAAAGCTTTTACAGAGCAACGTTACTTGTGACCTGCATCTAAACCAAAGAGAAGTAAGTAAACACAACAACTACAAATCATGATCTTGAAACCAAGCACCTCCTTGTCTCTAAGAATGAAGGCCTTGACAAGATTGTGTAATTTCAGATTTGCTCCGAAGCGAAAGATCATAATTTCTAGTATTTTCCTTAATGGAATAGGGTTATTGCTATTTAGTTCTGCTTGCATTATGATCTTTAACACTTGACCCATTTGAATCTTTTTCGCACCTCAAAATGTTTTGGAGTCTTTCTTCAGTTAACTAGTATACTTTTTGGTCAACCGGACCATTGAAACTTTTAGAAAGCTTTTATAGAGCAACATTATTTGTGACCTAAGCAATTTAAAAAAAAAATTGAAGGATTCTGAAAAAGTCAAGTTAAGAGACTAAACTTTGATCAATTTGCCTGTATGAATTTATCAAAACGTTGCATCCGGAAATAAATCGACACTAGAAAATAACACCACAGTTTATAGCAATTCGTGAGATAAAGCATAGTAAACAATTTTTTTTTCTTTTCAAATTGCTAATAATTTCACGTAAGGAACATTGTCCATCATAAACAAAAGCGATGTCAACTCAATGATATTTCCATAAAAAATAATATTACAAGTTTTATTTATTCAACTATAGTTTGAAAAATGCTATATGAGCATATTAATATGTTTTTAGTAAGTTGGCAATTTGCCCATTTTTAATTGTTTAAACGATCAAGTAGTGACCTTATCAATGATTAATCCAGATGGGTACTCACAATGTAAAGCTTGCATGTTCGTACGTACTACACTAAGATATATTGATTTAGAGCTTTATATGTATATAACTGATCATGCTTAGCATTTAGAGCTTTCTTGTTTTAGTTTTAGCCACCAAACAAAAATGATTGTAGTATGATTTTTTTCATCTTTTTGTTCTCTCTTAGCTTCATAATATAACTGTTAGTGTGTTATATTTGTCTCTGTTCTTCAATTTTCGAAAACGTGTGGAACACTTAAAAGTTTAGGCACATCAACATCATCAGTGTGGATCAATAACGAACACGAAAACACATGCATGTTCAGTTACCTGATCTAGAAAGGATTTTGAAAAATGTATTGTTCCAATAAATTCGAATGGCACTTGTCACTTGCTTTGGATCGGTTCTCCAAGAGTGGCTCTCACGTTAACACAATAATGCTCCACCCCCAAGTTTACTTTCATTTCCTTGGAAAAAACATTAAGATTTATGCCAACATTTATATGTATATATTTATTATTTGGTCAGCAAATACAGGCCATTTTGAATTGATTTTCTGCTAAGACTCTTATAAAATATATCCCAGTCTCATAAAAATAATCAAATCAATGCGAAAGAATGAATCAAATGGCAGGAACTAATTTGTTTAGAAACGAGAAGGTCGTAGAGATTGGGTCAACGATGTAAAACTCTGTTAGACTTTGTATTAGTAACATCACCAATGTACATTCCAACACTCTACCCACACATGTATATATATATATATGATGATAATGTACTCTTGAGAAAGCCATATACGAACAAAGGAAAACGAGCTAATACTCAAAACAAAAAACAAATTAAACCTTTCAGACAACAATCATTCATGGCTTACACTACCAAGAATCCGGCAGCAGCTGCGGTCGTGACAGCGGTGCTAGTTTTAGCGGTTATGATGGCTCCCCGTTGGACGGAGGCACAGCTGGATGCTGCAGTGTGCACGGTGTTGATTGCTGACATCACCACAGAATGCTACTTAACCGGGACTGTGACGCCATCTGCAGAATGCTGCAGCGATCTCAAATCGGCGACTGATAGGCAAGTAACTTGTCTCTGCGACAATGTCATTGCACATCCTTCTGCAAACAACGTCACACAAGCTGTCTTGGAGCTATACCACAACGAGTGTGGCGTTGCTGATAAATTCGCCTGCAAAGGTACCTATTTTAAATTTTCCAGCCTTTTATATGCTTATTTTGGAGGTTGTAGGAGTTTTATAGTTTCAATCTTATAATATAGATATACATGGTAATTAATTGATTTTGGTTTTGCTGCAAAACAGGAAAGCCCAGTGGAGGAGCAACGAACAAGATCAGTGCATCAGTTGGTCTACTTGGTTTGGCTGCAAGTCTGTTCTTTAATTAATTGAAGCTTTGCCCTATTTAATATTATGCAACTCTTATTCTTTCTTGTATTGTTGTCTTTGTTTGTTTTTTATTTTTTGAATCTGACAAGTCGAAAACCAATATAAACATCTAGTTGATTATTGCATTTGTAACAAGCTTGTGGTAAATGATTGTATTGTAAGTCCTCTGCTTCTGAAAATTATTGGATTATTCTTAATTATGATCACAGAAAAAAATGTTAGAAAATAAAATGTTTTCAAAACAGGACCAACTTATTGATTTACATCATCTCCAACCAAAACTTGAGTTACACATGAATACTCCCATTACTTTTTACTACAGTAAAAGTTAGACATCATAGTGTTAGGATTATGATATTTTCTTAAATTATAAAATAACTAATTTCAGAACTTTCTTTTCTAGAATTATATCTTTAAATATTTTTATTCATTTAAAATTGAAATCATATAGACTTTATATATGTACATCTACCCAATAGTATTCAAACATGTTGAGTTGAAAAAATAAATTTTATTTCTGTTTAAAGTATTTTGGTTTATGAAAGCATTGGGTTGACCAAAAAAAAAGTATTTTGGTTTGGTCGGGTCGGTCGAACCAGTATCCTCTCAAGAAGTCCGGTTCAAACCTGACGATGGTCTTATCCGTTTATGATAGAGAAAGAAGAAGAAGGTGCTAGAACATTATTTTCGAAACTAAAACAAAAGACTCAAAAAAGAAAAAGACAGATTTTTAACAAACACTTCATCATACCTATAAACCAAATCACACTCTTTGTCTCCTCTCTCTCTCTCTCTCTCTCTCTCTGTGCGATCAGAAACGATGGATGCAAAGAAGCTAAGTGAACTAAAGCTCTTCATTGAGCAGTGCAAGTCTGACCCTTCCCTTCTCTCTACACCTTCCCTCTCCTTCTTCCGCGACTATCTCCAGAGGTGATGCTTCCATCTAAATCTCCTTTATGCTATTGATTTGTAGCTCTATGTTGTTGAGTATTCAGAAAGTTTTGATATTTGTGTGTCTGTTTGTGGAAAGTGTACTGATCTCTAGTTGAAATCTCGTGGGATTGATATACCCTTTTACCCCTTGTTGAAGAAAGGTCATGTCTTTGATCTGTGAGGCCACTCTATTGTATTGTATTCATTTCTGATGAGTGTTTCTCTCTTTGTGATGGTTTTCAGTCTTGGTGCTAAGATTCCTACTGCTGCTAATGAAGAACACAAAGACTCCAAAGCGGTATATCATCAATACTTTTGGTTGAGATATGTGTTTGCAGAAAGGTTTGTTTGTTTTGATTTATTGTTTCTGTTTTAACAGAAGAGTTTCGTAGTGGAAGAAGAGAGTGATGAAGATATGGAGGAAACTGAAGAGGCAAAACCCAAAGTGGAGGAAGAGGAGGAAGAAGAAGAGGATGAGATTGTTGAATCTGATGTGGAGCTTGAAGGAGAGACTGTTGAACCTGATAATGATCCTCCTCAGAAGGTAGTAGTAATATATGATTTTACTACTTTCTCTCTGCTATTATATCTCTTTTAACTTCTTTTGTTTTTTGTTTTGGGTTTAGATGGGAGATGCATCAGTTGAAGTAACCGATGAGAATCGAGAAGCTGCTCAAGAATCTAAGGGCAAAGCCATGGAGGCTCTCTCTGAAGGGAATTTCGATGAAGCAATTGAGCATTTGACTCAGGCTATAACGTTGAACCCAACATCAGCTATTATGTATGGGAACAGAGGTGAGTGTACTAGTTGATTTTATTCGGTTTAACTAGTAGTAAAATGAGTTTCTGTGCCTAAACATGTCTTAAATATTGTTGGTTTTCAGCTAGTGTTTACATTAAGTTGAAGAAGCCAAACGCTGCCATTCGAGACGCAAACGCTGCATTGGAGGTACAGTGAGACTATAAACTTCATCTAAAGACTTTGTTTTTTCTAATGATGGTAAATCTTTCTTTGTTTGGGAATTGCAGATTAACCCTGATTCTGCCAAGGGATACAAGGCACGAGGTATGGCTCGTGCCATGCTAGGAGAATGGGCAGAGGCTGCAAAAGACCTTCACCTTGCATCTACCATAGACTATGATGAGGAAATTAGCGCTGTGCTCAAAAAGGTATTGATTGGTTCAAAAACAATGCCATTAGTGAAGTTGTGTTACTCACTTTCTTGGAATTATTACTGTAGGTTGAGCCAAATGCTCATAAGCTAGAGGAGCATCGTAGGAAGTATGACAGACTAAGGAAGGAAAGAGATGACAAAAAGGCTGCACGTGATAGACAACGTCGCCGCGCTCAAGCACAGGTAGATAGAGCTTTGTTAGACTCATTCATGATACCTATCAGTCTAATACTAACTTGTATTTGACAATATCAGTTAGCTAGCTAAGTGGGGTTTAATTGGATAGTCATGTTTTAGGTTTTGTCTAAATATCTGGGGCTTATCCATGTATTCTTTTTCTGTTTTGTAAGGCTGCCTATGATAAAGCTAAGAAAGAAGAACAATCATCATCAAGCAGACCATCAGGAGGTGGTATGCCAAGCGGTTTCCCTGGAGGTATGCCCGGTGGATTCCCTGGAGGTATGCCTGGTGCAGGCGGTTTCCCTGGAGGTATGCCAGGTGGTTTTCCGGAAGGAAAGCCTGGTGCAGGAGCTGGTGGTATGCCTGGTGCAGGTGGTATGCCGGGTGGTGTTGACTTCAGCAAAATATTGAATGTAAGATTGTGACTATTTGTGAATTTGCATAAACAAGAAGGGATCTGATATTGTGAGAATGGTTTCATATTTTTGTGAGCAGGATCCAGAGCTAATGACAGCTTTTAGCGACCCAGAAGTCATGGCTGCTCTTCAAGATGGTATGACTCCGGTTAAAAACTACTGTTAAATGTTATACATATTCTTTTGAGTTATTTGTAGTTTTGAAAGATATGTTGTGGTTGAACAGTGATGAAGAACCCTGCGAATCTAGCCAAGCATCAGGCGAACCCGAAGGTGGCTCCGGTGATTGCAAAGATGATGGGCAAGTTCGGAGGAGGACCCAAGTAAAAAAACAGAGCAACAAACAACAGCTTGTGTCTTTTGCAATTTATGTGTTTAACTTAGTGAGATGAGTGATATGCTGTGTTGAGAATCTTTTATTATATTTTCGTTGTGAGAGAAGTTTGAACCCTTTTGCAAGTTCGTTAATAATATTACCTCATGTCGTTTCTTCACTTTAAGGTTTTTTGTAAATAACAAAAGCAAATCAAGTTTTGTCTTATGGCCATATATGGTGGCATTGTGTTATGAAGGTTCGTCTCCCATGTCTATGAAAATTGGTAGAAACTGAACATCATTAGAGTTTAATAAGTTATCAGTTACTGACGATTATTCTAGTATGCTATAGTTGCAAGAACAGAAATCCATCAATAAAAAAAAAAAAAAAATATATATATATATATTTGATGGTTGGTAGATTTCATTTTCTACCATCAAAATGAAATCTACCAAAACATATATTATTCGAAAATTCATTTTGACATTTCCAAAAGTTTTACTATATACAAGTGTGCCACACTTTGCATTGTGTGAGTAGACAAGTCGGCAATTCTTAAGAGACAAATGTGTAATATTTTGTGATCCACAAATTTGAGTGGAGATGTATTTTTTTCAAGGGCATTTAAGGTGATGAAGAATATAAGGATTTTGTTTAATTCGATCGTTGACAAAGATGTCGAGACCAAATATATACAAGTCTTAGTGTTGACGGCGTTGTTACGTTTCCATTTAACTTTGTCGTCGTATATCATCCATCTCATTTCAAATGGTTTGACCTCAAAATCTTAAAAAAGCAACTTCACAACAACTATGAAGTAAACACTCAGTTTACTGTTTGAGTTCTTTGAATCTATCAGAGTCTGCTCACTTGTAATTTAATAGCAACTGGTAGATTAGTACCTACAATATTCCAATTTTGAAGGGATTATGAGGTTGGTAAGAAAAAACATGTCCTGAAATTATTTAACTATTTTTAATTATGTGCACTACTGAAAACATACTTCCTATTATTATTTTACAATTATGTGAGTGACTGAACACATTTTGAAAACGATATGGAAATCCAAACTGTTTTACGGCTAAGATGCTTAAATCAAATGGGTCTTTTGCCAAAAACAAATGTGTTGGTGTGACAACTGATTCAATTCAGGAAGGATTGGGATGTTGATGTCACTGAGAAATTCCTCCACATACTCAATTAATTGATTAAAATCATTTCATCTTCTAAAATTAATTAAAGAAAAAAACTAAAAGACCAAATATACATAGTCAAAGAGAAAAATCTCAAAATAGGAGCCACAAATATTCTAAGTTAGAAGGTTCAAACGTTAATTAATAGTGAATCTTAGATTCGCAATGGTCCAAACTGAGAAGTGAGAAACTAAACCAAATAGTTTATTGATCATCGTTTGATGTTTTTTAGTTCATGCCTTTTATAAACTAACGTTTAGTTTGAAGTAGTTTTATTAACAAAGCACGCAAAATGATACAATGTTAACTTTTATTAATTTGTATACTCATATTTTTCTTAAGATTATTCATGCATAAAAAAAAAAAAAAAAATACACACATACAAAAGGGAATATGGTGTGTCTCAAGCTCCCTACAGTTTATTCTAACCTAAAGTTGGACATGTAAATAATTACTATACAAACCTAAACAGACTTAAACTTATCTTTTTTCCTGACTTTGAGGAACTTTGATGTACACCATACACTAATGAATAGTACTTGGAAGTCACGGTGCTCCCTTGCTGCTTTATATGCATTTATTCGCTACTACTAATATATTTATAATTGTATGCGTATATGCACATATACCTGCCACGTTTGCATAAAACATGACACTAGCTAATGCTTCTGATTGTGATTCATCTCCGTTGAGTTTCCAATATGTCCTGGTGAGAGTCAAAACCCAAAATCATGTACACCAAAGTCTTGGCAATAATCCAGAAACGTCCACTCCTTGCCGTTGATTCCTTCCGGTGACCATATCGGAAAATCTGATCCGGCGCCTGAAATATTGTTGTCATTATGATATGATGTTCCACTAAGGCCATAGTTACTATCACTCCAAGAAGCCTCAGCGTTAGTAGTTTCCTCGGACCATAAGTAACTAAACAGTTCTTCATCATTATAAATGTTGCTAAGTATGTTATTATCCGTGGAACTGTTTTGACCAGTAACCGTGCTGCTGCTTTCATCTTCTGTAGTCGTGCCATTTGTCTCTTTGGTGGTGGTGCTGCTCCTTGGCTCCTTTGAGGTATTATCTGAAGTCGAGGAAATGTTTTTGGGATTTTCGGTATTATTAGGTTCTTGGTTTAGAGGGTGATGTGTCACAGGGTCAATTCCCATATTAACAAGTTTTTTCTTGATGTGAGTATTCCAATGGTTTTTTATTTCGTTATCTGTTCTTCCGGGTAATCTTGAAGCTATCTTAGACCACCTACAATACAACCAATGGTTTTAAGAAAGTATAATCAAATAAATAATATTTTACGAAGTGTTGGTGGAGATGCTTAAATCTATGAATATAAACACAAGGAAATTGACAAAAGTAAGTTAACATTATCTTCCGGAGAGAAAGACGTTACTTTGTCTTGAAGTTTATGTCAAAAAGATTACGAATTAGTTCGTCTACATAAGTATACTATTCTACAGTTTCAAAATAAATAATAATTCTACTTGTAGGAAAATAATACACGATCCAAACCAAATATTTAATTACCTTAAGTCTCTAATTTTTGTTAACGTAAAAACATTAGCAAATTTTGATAGTTTTAAACTCCAATAAATCTACAAAAGATTGAGAATGAATAAAGAAAATTAAGCCGAGTAAATATATGATTAGTTATTAAAGCTTACTTGTTGCCGAGACGAGCATGAAGATCGATGACAAGTTGTTCCTCATCGTGAGAGAGAAGGCCTCTTTTCAAGTCAGGCCGGAGGTAGTTGGTCCACCGGAGGCGGCAGCTTTTCCCACAGCGGCGGAGACCGGCCAGCTTCGGCAAAGCACGCCAGCAACAATGGCCGTTGGTGAGTATGAAGCTTATGAGCTTCTTGTCTTCCTCCGCCGTCCATGGCCCCTTCTTCACCACCAGCTTGTCGCAGCATGGCTGCCTCCCCATGTGCGTGTATATACTTTTTGTTGATGTTATTGCGTATAATATGTTTGTTTTTTTTTTAGATGTTCGAAGGGATTTTGATTATAATAGAGTAGAGGGAGGGAAGAGAGATGCGAAAATTTAATTTATTGAGGATTGAAATATCAACAACTTGCGAGTTATGTTATAAGCTCACCAAAGCTTACCCACCTATATATAACCTTATGATCACACCTTTCCCCCCAAAAAATTGTTATTAAATAAAATGAATTTACACACACATTTGTATTATATATATATATGTGTATATATATATTTTTTTTTCAAAAACAATTGCATATATATATTTATATATAGATATTAATATACAGTAATGATATAAGATATATTAGTTGTTTGAACGTTACATATGATAAAGTTGTTTATTTTTTTTAAATATATATATATATATATACCTTTAACAAAACAAGAAAAAAATGCTTGTTAAAATTGATAAATAATTTGAACAAAAAAATGATAAATAAAAACAAAGTTTACTTCACTACAAATTCACGCGACAAACTCAATGCCCTAAGTATAGGTTTACTGTCTTAATATTCAACTTTTTCATCATATAGCATATATGTAACTCTTTGCTTAGAGGTTGATTCTTGACAAATCAGAGAAAATACAATTAACTGTTTTGTGAGAATATATTAAATTGTAACTTATTCACGAGATTATAACTAATTAATCACATAAATAACAAAAGAATATATATGCTCTAAATCAGAATTATGCATTATATGTGTAAAAAAAAAGGTACACATAACATATGTATATACAGATGTCATGATAGGGAAATTACAACAGTTTGGAAGAAGATTTTTTGTATCTTACTTCATCTATGAATATATATTGCAATGATGTATTATACACACATACAATGATTCCTTTAGATTTTATTTTGAATGGTTCATTTTTGTATATTTAATAGATCAATGAGGAGTTAATTAGCTAAAAACATAAAGCTGGTTATATAAATAAGATTAATCTAGTATATAATGATTAAGGTTAAGAAGTATACTTTGTCTTACTTTGTCAAATCTGTCGCAAATAGGCTCAAAGAAAGGAGTGTTGGGGATGTTGCATTTGGTTGGTGAAAATGACTTGAGAACTAATGTGAAAGGATAGGGTGCGTGCCAACGTACGCAATCACACGTGCGACTCATATGCTTTTTACCCAAATACTTGTTCTTTATCAAATAAATACATAAGTTCGTATAGTTTATAGTCCCACAATTTCATAGCTAATGAGATGATCCACATAAAAATAAACAAATCATAATCAGACAATATATAATTTAAAGAATGAATAACACTCCAAATCATGTCAACAAACTAACCTTTTTACTAGAACGAATATATCTCGTCGTCGATACGGTAACACAAACATAAACGAATATGTATCTGACACGTAGGTGTACACGTATAGACCACTATATCAATTTAGGTTCTGGACAGTTCTGATCTTGCGACTTGTAGGTGACTTGCAGTTTTGGGTTCATGGTATTGTTACAAAGTAGTGTCTTTGTTTCAATATTTAAACTAAAATATTCTTTATCGTATAAATTTACACAAATGTTTACCAGACGTGTGATTCTGTGACTAGGTGCTATTTGTTTATTCAGATCAGGAGTGTTTCAAGAAAATCTTACAAAAGAATGTATATACTACATATGATATTAACGTCAGGTGAATGATATTGCGTAGGTTTAACAAAAAATACATTGTTAAATACTCATACGTAAAGCGAGACATTCATTGACCTGCATACTGATCTAGAGTTGTGACCCAAATTCTAAATAAATATGGATATGGTATTTTAGGGTTTTGGTGTGTAATGGTGTTGATATGTTGCATATGTAAACTTAATTTGGGCCATTGAAGTGCATTGCCAAAGCGTTCATTCATTTGCTTTCAACCTGTTTTAAAGAAAGGATGTTGACTTTGAATTCTGATTTACTGGGATACAAAATCCGCAATTTACATTATTATTTCTTTTAGAACCCTCTATATGTTCACATGGTAACTAATCAGAAGTGTGTTATATTTCTGCTGTACGAGACAATGACAAAGTTGATTTCAATGAAATGAGATTGTAATTAATTCTTTAGCATTTTTTCCTTGATTCCGATTTCGCTGACTTATGTTTTGTGCTACTGCTCAAGAAAATATTTACAAAACATAAATTTTCTTACTACGATTGTCCACGCCAAATACATATGTTCACACTTCTGACGTACAAAAATCTCGGTTGCATTTCCCTGTGGCTGCTGTGAGTCACTAGATTCACTAGTCTTATATTTATCGTTGGTTGAATCATTATTAGGTAAGTAATACGTATATTTACTGAATTTCTGTCTTATAAAAATAATTCAGAGATTAGTAAGTGGTTATAAAATTATCGTACAACTTGTGCCTCCTGTCTTCTTTGTTAATCATGGTCCCCAGATAAACTGTAACATACACAAGTCCCAAGTGTTTGTTTGCGTGTGATTAAGACTAACCCTAATGGTAGAAAAACAAATCAATAAAAGAAAACTATCTACTGTGACTCGTCAACAAAATGTATCTCTAAATATATACTCCGACTTCTGAACACAATTCCATTGCAAATAGGTTTTTTGAACATAGGTTTAAATAGTCTTTTCTGATTGTTTCCGACAATTCATATTCTATTTTTCTCGTTAAAAATAAAATGAATTGTAATGAAATAGTTTGTTTGTAATACACTAACAAGTAACAAACGTGTTTTTCTTCATTTTTCAATCTTAAGTTGTTTATATCTTAGACTATGTGAGGTCCCCTTATTAGCATAAAAGGTCTCCAAAATGAGAATATATATGATTAAGTCTCTTAAACTCAATAATATATCAACATATTAAAGTGACAGTTCAACACCTTAGGAATCGATATTTCGCTCTAAACCCCACCACTTTCTTCTATATCCACAACTTTCATGTTCTAATTATTTCTAATTAACTCAGAAACAAGACTCTTAATCATCGCTTTCCCCTTAATCAAAGTTTTAAATCATCTTCTTGCTTTAGTCCCATTTCCAAGTCACCACTTACGTTACTCATGGGTAATGCCATCGTCATTATATTATGCATGCATATATATAGATAAAGAAATGTATGGAACTCTATAAGTAAACGATGTGCTATATGTATGTGAACCCCCTTTTACTGTATATATGTATACTGTATATACATGTTCATATTTTTGTAGAAATCATGTTGGTGAAAAAACAAATGATTTATGTTGAACAAATAACATCCTTTTCACTGCATAATTTGAGTGACACATTGAGTACCCTCTATCTGACAGTCTAATCTTGTATGTATAAATGGAAGACATTATACATTTGCTATTATGTTATATATTGTTAAGTCATTTTAAGAAATATAGATTATTAGCTTTCTGTATTTACCAAAAACGATTTTTTTTTTTTAATTACCAAGAGGTTCGGGGGAAACTCCAATCACACAGTACAGTATGTAATATTAGTTTTATCTCATTGGTCATTCGAGCTGAGACCTCTGACAAAAAAAATAACAAAGATTTTATACAACTAAAATTAAGGAAACTGATATAATCTACATTGGCCTCTATGAGGAACTCTCTCATCTCTTACTGAATGTTCTTACAGTTGGTCAATCTGGAATCCGGTTGCCATCTGGTCTTGATCTCCAGCCAACTCGTGATTGGGATCAACATCTCCACCTTCGATCTATGTGATTTGGTCTAAACAGATAATAGTAAACCAGCTAATTAAATCAACATTTTTTTTCATTTCAGTTGAATATAAAACTGTATCCATACCATGTGTGAAAAAATTCCTTGAACAACGAGTTCTGATCATTCTAGTTCATTCTTATCATTTTCCAGTATTCATATCAACCGAAAAAAACAAACTTTCATAAAAGTTAACGTTATCTGGGACTGAGAGATGATGCAGATTTAGTTCTCTTCTGGACTGCGTTGTAATCTTTTCCTCGAGCTTCAATAAGAAAAGTCCTTACATAAAAAGAAGTCTTTTTATACAAATTGAATCAAGTGATTTAAATATTAAAACATTATTTTCAATCTTCTTGTTGGGTCTTGCACTGAGATGATCAAATATTTGAAAGGCCAAAATTATTTCTGAAATTATCTCAGGCCCATGCATGCTAGTTTCAGTTATTTCAAATTAAGCCCATACACGTTTTTATTCAGACCAATTCGCAGCTGATCAACGGAAGAAAACCAAACTCAAGTTTCTCTAACACCAAAAGGTAATACTGCCAGTAACAGTTGCATGATTATGGGAAAACCAAAGCCGATTTCAGAGCTTCAGATGCAGCCACCATTTTACTTTCCGATGCTGCAACAAGAAGCGGACAAAAGCTGAATTGGAAGGGATAAGATTGGTACTGAAAGAGAGCAAACACGTTTTAGAGAAAGTTGAGAAACAAGAGAAGAACGTTGATGAATTAACAGAGAGATCCAAAGAAGTGTATCAGAAAGAGTTCAAGATAGCTGAGCTGAAGCCAATGGCGTGTTCTTTGGAGAGAGATGTGTGGTTAAAATGTTACAAGGAGTTCAAGGAGCACATCAGTGACATTCTAATGTAGCGGTTTCGTTAGGAGTTTCATGTATTGCGCACGTCTAGTGAGACAGTGGGATCTAATAAGAATGTATTCATGACGGTTTGTGTGTTTTGGAAAGACATTCTTATTAGATCTTATAAGAATGTATTCGCTTTTGTTGTTCTTATCTTGTATACAAAAATATAATATAGAGCTCCATTGTTTCCATTTGTCTTTTGTTTTGACGCTTACTCTGTATTTTTTCTTTGTCTATATTTAACTTTGTTACCAAAATCGATTAGCTCATTGATTTGTTAAATGCAAGTGCTAACTGAAAATTTGAATGTTACTTGGAAAGATAATTCGAATGTTTTTGACTTTTGAACAGTTGTAGTACAAAACTATTGCTTTGATCATTTTAATTTTAAATTAAGAGAACGTAAAATTACTGAATTTTTTCTACCGTTTTGATTTTAATATGGTTTTTATGTTGGAATAAAATTGAGCTAGATCCTGTGGACTAGCCAGTCTTACAAGTAACACCAACAATCGACATAAAAACAAAATAACAAAACTAGTTCACAATGTTGAAAAGTCTTGGATTTTCCTTTTAACGTATTTTAAAAATATCCAAGGTAAATAAAATCAGCAATCACACAATAAAACAAGTCAAATTCAACATATTACTACTATTATTAATTAATGAAATCATTGATAAGGTTTTGAATAGTCACAAGTGGAGTGATGTGTTAGTACACCATTAAATTATTGAATGGGACTTCAACACTGGGGGCGACTGAGTCAAGATTGACGTTTATAATTATCTTCTCTCATTTATTCATAATATTAAATATTGAAATATGCATTTCTTATTATTATTAAATGCCACCATGCAAAATATATATTTGTCTATTTAAAGATATTTTTATCTATTTAAAGATATTTTTAGTTCACTATAGATTGCAATAGATATCGATTCATTCTTTGGCATTAGTCCGAATGTAATCCAAATTTAGACCAGACAATGTGGTAGTCAGTCCACTTTTTTACATTAAATTCGTTTTTCTTCGGGTCGATCGAATCAGTCGGTATGATTTATAAAAAAAAAATTATTTAACTTGTGTAAATAAGATACGCCGGTTTAGTGTTACTTTTCTGCATGGTTTTTTATACTAATTTCAACGCCGTCGCAAATCTTTCACTTTTGAGTTTTAAATATGAAGGAACCTACGAAATTTCTTTCAAGTTGATATGATAAAATACTAATAATAAAATAACACCATCATTCTCCCCGAGCCTACAATATAAATCTCCATAATACTCCCATGATCTTATCTACCACCACACAACACCAAAACCTCCAGTAACCAAAGTCTCTCTATTTCCATAAAGAAACTAAACACAAAGATTGATCTCTGTCTAAAATAAAATGGAAGCGACTAACTTCACTCTCTCCACGATCCTCAACAAAGAGGATCCATACAGCTCCATCATGCTCGCCGTTGCTGCTCTCCTCGCCGTCTTCTGCTACTTTTGGCTTCAGGGTAAAACCAAGTCCAAGAACGGACCACCGTTGCCTCCAGGACCATGGCCACTTCCCATCGTCGGAAACCTCCCGTTCCTATACTCCGACATCCTCCACACACAGTTCCAAGCCCTAACTCAAAAACACGGCCCTCTCATGAAAATCCACCTCGGCTCCAAACTAGCTATCGTCATCTCTTCCCCAGACATGGCTCGCGAGGTTCTCAAAACCCACGACATCACTTTCGCGAACCATGATCTCCCTGAGGTCGGGAAGATCAACACTTACGGTGGTGAAGACATCCTCTGGTCTCCTTACGGCACTCACTGGAGGAGACTACGTAAGCTTTGCGTCATGAAGATGTTCACTACTCCGACTCTCGAAGCTTCTTACTCCACTCGTCGTGAAGAAACGAGACAAACCGTTGTTTACATGTCGGAAATGGCACGTGAGGGAGCTCCCGTAAACCTAGGAGAGCAGATCTTCCTCTCTATCTTCAACGTCGTGACGAGGATGATGTGGGGAGCTACTGTTGAAGGAGAAGAGAGAACGAGCTTAGGAAACGAGCTCAAAACCCTAATATCTGATATCTCCGACATCGAAGGGATACAAAACTACTCAGACTTCTTCCCTATGTTCGCAAGATTTGACTTCCAAGGACTTGTTAAGAAGATGAAGGTCCACGTAAAGAAGCTAGATATTTTGTTTGACCGTGTTATGGAGAGTCATGTCAAGATGGTTGGTAAGAAAAGTGAAGAAGAAGAAGATTTTTTACAATATTTGATTAGGGTTAAAGACGACGATGAGAAAGCTCCTCTCTCGTTGACTCATGTCAAGTCATTGCTTATGGATATGGTTCTTGGTGGTGTGGACACATCAGTTAACGCATCAGAATTCGCCATGGCGGAGATTGTTAGTAGACCAGAAGTTTTCAAGAAGATCCGACAAGAACTAGATCAAGTTGTTGGTAAAGACAGTATCGTTGAAGAGTCACATTTACCAAAGCTTCCTTATCTACAAGCGGTTATGAAAGAGACTCTTAGGCTTCATCCTACGCTCCCTCTTCTTGTGCCTCATAGGAACAGTGAAACCTCGGTGGTTGCGGGGTACACTGTGCCTAAAGACTCCAAGATATTCATTAATGTTTGGGCGATTCATAGAGATCCTAAGCATTGGGATGAGCCAAACGAGTTTAAACCTGAGAGGTTTTTGGAGAATGCACTTGATTTCAATGGTGGTGACTTCAAGTATTTGCCTTTTGGATCGGGGAGGAGGATTTGCGCGGCGATTAATATGGCTGAGAGGCTTGTTCTGTTCAACATTGCGTCGCTTCTTCACTCTTTTGATTGGAAAGCTCCTCAAGGACAGAAGTTTGAGGTTGAAGAGAAGTTTGGGCTTGTGCTTAAGTTGAAGAGTCCACTTGTGGCTATTCCTGTTCCGAGGTTGTCTGATCCCAAACTATACACAGCTTAAATAACTAAACATGCATGAAGGAAAGATTGGTTCAGAGAAGTTGATTGTAATTTACTTTAATTTTGTTTTGTGGTGTGAGTTTTAAAAAGTTTAAATGCTTTGTAAAGTGGAGTGTGTCAAGACGCATATCTGATTATATGTAATAATTTTTATTTGTTTATATAATGTCTTATATTTTTCATTTGCCAACATGTCATGTCTAATCCTAATAGTCTAGTCGATCCCACAAATGGTAGTTGAAAACGAAAAGAAAATTATAAATTGGTAGTTGGTATAATGCAGTTATGACAATTTAATTCATATATTCATGCAGGGACCATAAAGTGATACATGTATGTGCTTAAGGCCCCGGACATGCTTACTAGTAGAAGGAAAGAGCCAAAGAACTTCCAAGTGACACAAGATGACTACTATAGGGATATATCTTGATTAGGCTTTGGCCTTGAACTAAACATCAGAAAGTAAAGTTTTAGACGCAAGAATACATTACCATTTTAAAGATTAACATTTTTTGTAGTATAGTTTTATGGTTTAGAGGTCAAGGACGCTATAATGAAGTTTAGTTGCTAGGTTGGTGTCTTGTGTAATAAGTTTTGGATGATTTTTAAAAATATATTAATGGGCCAAGATATTTTTAAAGATCATATTTGAACGGCCCTGCCTCTACCACAAGAAACAAAGACAAGAAGGTTTACATCAGAAAACCAACCGGTTAAACATTTAAATGGTTAACCATTTACTTTCAAAAGTCAAATCGAAATCTCCAACTTACAATCTCGAACTTAAAAATCGAACCAAACCGGAGTTAAAATTGAACCAGAACCCTAAATCTCTGGAGCAAAGAAAAAAAGACAGAGCTTCAAACTCGAACGCCTCCAGTTTCGACAGAACATCATCAGGAGAAGACTGTAAAGACGCGAGACTGAAACCAATAGAGATATAGTTAGTTTCGTTCGAGCTTCTGAAACCTATAACCAGTCCAGAAACCAAGAAAGAGAAGGAGAATCTCTGTCCTTACTCGAACAACCTTGGTCGGAACTGAAAAGAAGAGAGCTTTTAGATCAAAAACAGTTGACTCAGAGAAGCTTAGGTATGTTTCATATGTCCTGAAAAATCATTACTTTATTTAATTATGTCTTACAAGAACTAGTTTTACGAATCAATGTGTTTAAAAGTTTGGATCTTTCTCCATCTAATCCTTACTTTAATATTCTCCCTGCTCTGTTTTTTTGTTGTTGTTCTGTAACCAAACAGAGATGAAGAGAAAGATAGCAATAGGCTTCGAGGGTTCAGCCAACAAGATCGGCGTTGGAATCGTCTCCCTAGACGGTACAATCTTAGCCAACCCTCGCCACACATACATAACCCCACCAGGTCACGGTTTCCTCCCTAGAGAGACAGCACATCACCATCTCGCCCACGTTCTTCCCTTAGTCAAATCAGCTCTCGAAACATCCAAAATCACCCCTGAAGAAATCGACTGCATTTGCTACACTAAAGGTCCCGGGATGGGAGCTCCCTTACAAGTCTCAGCCATTGTGGTTAGGGTCCTGTCACAGCTTTGGAAGAAGCCTATCGTTGGTGTGAATCACTGTGTGGCTCATATTGAGATGGGGAGAGTTGTTACTGGAGCTGATGATCCTGTTGTTTTGTATGTGAGTGGTGGGAATACTCAGGTGATTGCTTATAGTGAAGGGAGGTATAGGATCTTTGGTGAGACTATTGATATTGCTGTTGGTAATTGCTTGGACCGTTTCGCTAGGGTTTTGAATCTCTCTAATGATCCAAGTCCTGGATATAACATCGAACAGGTAAAAGTTCAAGAACTGTCTTGTGTTCTGTAAAGATTCAAGAACCATGTTGTTAACTCGTTTTGTTTACTAGCTTGCGAAGAAAGGAGAAAAGTTTATCGATCTCCCGTATGCTGTTAAAGGTATGGATGTATCATTCAGTGGGATCTTGAGTTATATCGAAACTACTGCAGAGGAGAAGCTCAAGAACAACGAGTGTACACCAGCAGACTTGTGCTACTCCCTTCAAGTAAGTCTCTCTCTCTCTATCATGTTTAATTCATAAATGAGAGTATGAGACACTTTGTTTTGTGATTATGATTTGTTTGGTGTTGCAGGAGACGTTGTTTGCGATGTTGGTTGAGATAACGGAACGAGCGATGGCTCATTGTGACAAGAAAGACGTTTTGATAGTTGGTGGAGTTGGGTGTAACGAGCGTTTGCAGGGTATGATGAGGACGATGTGTTCTGAACGTGACGGTAGGCTTTTTGCAACGGATGATCGTTACTGTATTGATAATGGAGCGATGATTGCTTACACGGGTCTTCTTGAGTTTGTTAACGGTATTGAAACGCCGTTACAAGACTCTACTTTTACGCAGAGGTTTCGCACTGACGAGGTTCATGCTGTGTGGCGAGAGAAGGAAGATTTGGTACGTGCTGCTAAGTGATTGTGTCTACTCATTTATTTGTACTTTTTTTTTGTCGATTATCAGAAATGAATATGTCTACTCGTTTTTGATGAGTTAAGTTTTAGTGCAATGTTATGAATGTTGCGATTGTTTCTTTTGATTTGGATGATTTCGAGATTGTTATAACATGTAACGCTTTCAAATTTAAAGGTTGGCAATTTCTTGGTAGCAGTTCAGGTTACTTGTATGCTTTTTTGCTTTTTTTTTTTTGAATACTGTATATATTAAAGTCGACATTTTCTACCGAGAATGGTGGGGAGATAAATGCGTTAGTCTTCCTTAATCATACAAAATCAACTTTTAAGAAAACAGTAATAGTAATTTGATCAGAAAAAAAAAGAAAAAAAAGAAAACAGCAATAGTAAAAGCTATAACTTTTGATGAATAACGTATGTGGTCCAATCAAATAATACTTTTGTGGAATATACTCTGCGTAGTGCGTACTGAAAGAAAATTGGGAGAAAAGAGTATAGAATTTCCTTACACATACTTTTTTTTTGGACAAAAAGAATTTCCTTATACATTGGTCTAATAAACTGTAAGTGTTTCCTGACCTAAAAGTAGGCCGTGAAGACCGGAATTTATAGCATGGTTTCTTGTAGTGTTATATTTACTAAGATAAAAGTACAAATATTTCAAAAGTTCTTAAAAGATAGATGATATAGAAGATTCAAAAAGAAGACAAACGCATAAAGAGATTCAAAATAGACAAAAGTTGGGAGTAAAACAATCAATTAAAGATGAAAGTAATCAAAGAAAAGATAAAGTATATCAAAAGTCTTCCTTCCTCCATCTTCAAATTCAAAAAGGTCAAAACAAATGATTTTTAAGAATAAAAAGTTCTCTGATACCAATTAGTAATGTGTCTAGAATTTCTTGTTTCAAAAGTAACACTTGGTTACTATTGTATTCACCTGAAAACCTCGAATTTATGTTAAATTCGTTTAACATATATTTTGTTTTTCAAACTTTCATAATACGGTTAATCAATTAATTTGTTTTTGTTATTGCTTTTCACCAGTTAATCTTTCACACGGTGGAGAATACTGTGGTCATTGGTTTCTATTAATTAAAGAGCAGGCATACTTATCTAATTAGATGAGTATTGGAGTCCACATTGGATTCTTCTAATTGTCAAACTTCCATGTTCCAACCCCAAGTTAGTGTTTATAATAATACAACATGCATGAACTAGCAAATAGTTTCTTCTTGCAGCTAAATAACTAATAATTAAGTGACTAAGCTCAAATATTTATCAGTTTACTTTATAGTTTACAATTGATTAGCATACAAAGTAAAAGCTAGTGGAATGATTGTCCACTAGATCTCGATAATATCATTGACTTTTGTAAACCGTATAAGAACATTATAAGACATACAGATCTGAACAAAAAGATTCTTTAATCAACTATTCTAATCCAAAAAATCTACTCGGTTTTATAGACTGGTATGTGAATGTGTAGGAGTGTATGCACGAGTTAACACGTACATGCACGTGGAGAATGCAAAAGAGTGCTGACAAGTAACAAAAGGATGATCCAAATTTTAAAATGATTCCAAAGTTACGACTATAAGCCAAAAAGCCAATCGCCGAACATGAACTTGAACTACACTCTACGCTCGTTATATCATTTTCTCACACTAAAGCCGCTTTACAACTTTACCATTTATATATACATAGGTCATAGGTATGACTCAATTTAAGGAGCTGTATATATATTTCAGTATAAATAAATTTGAATGATATATTTATAATTCGAGAATCAGAAAATATGCTGCTTTATAGTTAAATGTGTTTCATCTAATGATTCAATCGTCCTATCTTATTGTTAAGACAACTATATAACTCTAATAATTTTTGTTGACAATAACATTTAGGACAGAGAGCCAGAAGACTATTTATATCGGTTAAAAAGATGGTCATCCAAAAAGTGTAATTTGATTCAAAAATTCAAATCAAAATTTTAATATGTGAAATTTACTAAATACATTGCCAAATTCTTTCTAAATCTCACTGAATTATTAAATCAAAAGTGAATTATCTAACAAAAAGAGCTAATTACATTTCATGGAAATACATCACATCACATTTCCCACTTATTATAAGTTTTTACAAATGTGAACATTAACTGTCAGCAAATAAAACCAAAAAAGTCATCAAGATTTAGCCTTCCTTTTCAAAAGCAGTACACGTCTCTCTCTTGGAGACACAGAGACAGAGTATTCAATGCTTTGCTGCCTTCCCACTTTTCACCAGCTAAGCTCTGTTCTTCCTCTTCCTATTCTCTCCCAAAAAAGATATACTCTTCCACAACTTTGATTCACGAGAGTTGAAGCTAAAGCTTCCAATTCCCACAAACAAACATAAAATTCCCCTTCCTAGATTCTGAACTCGGGTCCCTCTTTAAAACTTTCCTTATTCTCTTCGTCTAGCTCCAAACCCACAAGAAAACAGAGTACTCTGTTCCATAAATTACGTAACTTTCTTTGAAAGTTCATTCCTTTTACTTCTTTTTCAAGCCAAGAAATAAAAGAAGTCTCCAGAGAGAGACAATAAGAAGACACTAATCTTGAGCTCTCATCAAAACTTCCTCTTTCTCTGCTTAAAAGGCGAAACAGAGAAAGAAAAAGTGAGCAAAGGGGCAATAATGGATGCCTTACGTGCCACGTTACTTGTTATTCTCTCAATCCTTCTTACAACTTCACAAACTGTTCAAGGAAACACCGAGCTGAGAGCTCTAATGGAGCTCAAATCATCTCTCGACCCCGAGAACAAGCTTCTCCAGTCATGGACGTTCAACGGCGACCCATGCGACGGTTCTTTCGAAGGAATCGCCTGTAACCAGCATCTGAAAGTCGCCAACATATCGTTACAAGGGAAACGTCTCACCGGGAAACTATCTCCGGCCGTTGCAGAGCTCAAATGCTTGTCAGGTCTTTACTTGCATTACAATAGTCTCTCCGGAGAGATACCTCAAGAGCTCACAAATCTCACTGAGTTAACAGATCTTTATCTCAATGTTAATAACTTCTCCGGTGAGATTCCGACAGAGATTGGCTCCATGGCCGGCTTGCAAGGTTAGCGTCTCACATGTTTTAAACCGGTTTAGATAAACCGGAAGTTTGTTTGGCTAAACTGTTTTAGAATTGGCCAGACTCCAGAGAGCTAGAGCTAGAAACAGAACTGAGTTTACTTAAACCACAAGATACCAGATCTTTATAGCTTTCATCAATCCTTTAGACAGATCTGGTTTGAATGGTTTTTGTCTGTCTTTTGGTGTAGTTATGGATCTATGCTGCAACAGCTTAACAGGGAAGATACCAAAGAGCATTGGTTCCTTGAAGAAGCTAAGTGTTCTGTCTCTGCAACACAACAAACTAACCGGAGAGGTTCCTTCCAGTTTAGGGAAGCTGAGTATGTTGAGTAGGATTGATTTGAGCTTCAACGCTCTTTCAGGATCAATCCCACAAACCCTAGCCAACATTCCTCAGCTTGAGACACTTGACTTGCGCAACAATACTCTCTCTGGCTTTGTTCCTCCTGGTGAGTGAATGTCTTTCTAAAGCTTCTCTTTTGTCTTTGTAAAGCTTTTTCTTGAATATGTTTTTGAATCTTGTGAAAGGTCTCAAGAAGTTGAATGAGAGGTTCCAGTTTGAGAACAACACAGGGCTATGTGGAATCGATATCCCTTCATTGAGAGCTTGTTCTGCTTTTGATGATTCAAACATCGAACTCAAGCAACCTCAGGGTGCAAAAGACACTGATAAGCCAACACTTCATGACGTTTCAAACTCTGTCTATCTCAAAACTCATTGCAACCAAACACATTGTGACAAACCCTCATCAAAACTCCCACAAGTTGCTTTGATCTCAAGTGTAATTACAGTCACTATAACTTTGTTTGGTGCTGGTTTATTAACCTTCTTACGCTACAGAAGAAGGAAGCAGAAGATTAGTAACACAGGTGAGCTTTCTGAGGGAAGAGTCAGCACAGATCAGCAAAAAGATTTAAGGGCATCACCGCTAGTGAGTCTTGCCTATACTAAAGAATGGGACCCCCTTGGAGACAGTAGAAACGGAGCTGAGTTCTCACAAGAGCCTCATCATCTCTTTGTTGTTAATAGTAGTTTCAGGTTTAACTTAGAAGAGGTTGAATCTGCAACACAATGCTTCTCAGAAGCTAACTTACTGAGCAGAAACAGCTTTACCTCAGTGTTCAAGGGAGTCCTCAGAGATGGTTCTCTTGTAGCTATCAGAAGCATCAACATAAGCAGTTGCAAGAACGAGGAAGTAGAATTCATGAACGGTTTGAAGCTTTTGTCCTCAATGTCACATGAAAACTTAGTGAAGCTGCGTGGCTTCTGCTGTTCTAGAGGCAGAGGAGAGTGTTTCCTCATATATGATTACGCTTCAAAAGGAAAGCTCTCGAGGTTTCTTGACTTGCAAGAAAGCGAAACCGGTCGAGTTCTTGCTTGGCCTGCAAGAGTCTCTATCATCAAAGGGATTGCTAAAGGTATTGCTTACTTACATGGAAGTGATCAAGAGAAGAAGGCTACCATTGTTCATCGAAACATATCGGTCGAGAAGATACTATTAGATGAGCAGTTCAACCCGTTGATCGCTGATTCAGGTCTTCACAACCTTCTAGCAGATGATTTGGTCTTCTCAGCACTCAAAACAAGTGCAGCAATGGGATACTTCGCTCCAGAGTACGTCACAACAGGGAGATTCACCGAGAAAACCGACGTTTTCGCCTTTGGAGTTATTATTCTCCAAATAATCTCTGGCAAGCTCATGCTCACAAGCTCACTGAGGACTGCAGCTGAAAGTGGAGAACATCGTGGATTCGTTGATGAATATCTCGGTGGAGAGTTTGATGAAACAGAGGCGGTTGCAATGGCGAGGATGGGGATAAGATGTACTCAGGAGATTCCAAACAATAGGCCTAATATAGGGACACTGCTTCTGGAGATAAACTGTATGAAGAGTGAATGAGTCTGCTTTGTAGTTAGTAACTTTGTTTGTGCTAAGTATGATTCTCCGGTTAAGCAGTATCACAACAATTTATTTTTACTCATTCCAGCAAGAACCGGGTCGGTTTACATTAATATACTACTTTACATAGATTATTTAATATCAATTGGATAAATATCATATATAATCTATTTGATGCCATCATAGCAAAATGTAACAAATTGTAACGTCATGATTTATTCTAAGCACAAGAGCAACAAGGCATGGTGATGGGAAACAGTTAAGAAGAGTCTAAGCATAAATAGCGT